TATATATATATATAATTGTTGATTGATCCATCAGATACTAATAATATATGTACAGTATGATGCAAATGTATGGAATAAATTCATTTCAAAACAAGACGACTTTCGAGAAAAAACCAAAAACTAGAGTTTAGAACTTTTTTTTCGACGTATTTTTTTAAGTAGACGACCCTTCGATGTTCAATTCTCAGTAGCAGACCTCTGCAAGATTCAATAAATCACATGATAATCCATTTTAATTTCAATCTTCTTATGCAACATTTTGACTGTTGAATAGACGATCGGTAGACCTTTCAATCAAGGTGTCACATGACCCCTATTTGTATTTGAAAAAATCGTCCATTACGTCTTTACTCCAACACCGGTGACGTAACATCTCTCATATGAATATCATGAGATGAGGCTTCAGAAATTAAAACTCACGTGTTTTTGAAATTTTTTCAAATGTCGCCCATTTCTGAAATAATGAATTTATTCCATATACATTTGCACCATACTGTATATTTGATTGATGATATTATAATATTTATGTTATGTTCGGGATAACTTTGGGAACTCGCGGTAAGAAATGCTTGTTCATGTTATATTAGGGATAGCTTTGAGAAATCGCAGTAAGAAATTCTTGTTCTTGGTAAGTTCAGGATATCTTTAGGTGCTCTTAGTAAGCAGTGCTTGTTCATGTTACGTTCAAGATAACTTTAGGATTTCGCAGTAATAAGGAATATTTCAAGTTCAAGGTGAGGTCTTCGCGATTTCTTTCAGATGATTACACAGAGAATTTCCTGTGGTAACTGCCTATAGTGATCTTTGAAACCTCGCAGCAGGATTTCGCATTATTTACCTGCTGATGACTACTTAAAGATCTCGCGGAGAAGTCTGTGTTACCTGGGATACCTACTATCGAATAGCGCCAATAAACAAAATATCGGGAACAAAATAAAATTTGGGGTGAGAATTCTTTTTCTACACTGTAGCGATTCTGACGTCACCTCTCTCTATAAATTTCCGTGCGGAAGACACATTCAGGCGGAGTTCAATCAATTAAATTGCCTTGAAGTCGTTTCCGATTTTTATTCAATTTTCCAAATTATATTTCAAATGAAACACCCTGTATTTCATTGCATTTTTAGATTCTTCTTGAAGAGCTGATTTCAACAATGCATCACACTTGTGGTCTAGCGGGAATGATTACAGAGATATAGATGAGGGTGTTCAAAATCGAGATTTTTCAACTTCAGATTTTTTGTGTATCGAAACAATTCATTATCGGTCAAAACAGCTTTCATGTCTCTATCATAACTTTCGATTTACTCTATCTACGAACTACGAACATTCAAATGGAACAAAATGGGTGGTTCAGGATTCATAATTCTGATCACCCTCTATCTGTAAATACAAAATATACCATATAACATATAAAATCGGTCATTCATTAATTTATTTATTGAGCAGCACTGCGCCTCTGATATATATTGCGAAAAATGTTCGATCATATATTACAGGGAATAAGGTTCAGTGAAATATAGGTACAGAATTCGTAAGAAATCTTTACTACACATGAAAATATCACAATTATTAACTGAAATGATAATATAATACTAAATAAAATATAGTTATTGATACACCAGGATAATTTGAATAATATAATGACACATTTAATGTTGCTTTACCACAAACTGGCATAGATTGATGAATTTGCTGATAAGGTAGCATACCTAATTTGTATTTGAAATGCTTATCAACTGTCATATCCAGTTCATGAACGACTAGAAATTTAAGTATGCATTCAGAGACATTCAAAAAATTTGAATTCACTTTATAAAATAATTACAAGTGAGTATCCCACTGAGCAGAGTTGAAATCTATATATTGATGCAATGTAGAAGCAATTTTATTACTGAAACGGACGATCAGCAATATTGCAAAGGTGAAGTTTGATAATGTAGCGTTGCAGCAATATTACATGTTGCTGTGACATTGCTGAAATAACGGTACATTTACAAATTTACCTTCGCAATATTGCTGAACGTCCGTTTCAGTAATGGCTACAACCTAGCTTCCAAAATTTGCTTAGTGGGATAGGTAGGTACATTTTATGAAGGGATAGACGATTTTTCATCTATTAAATTAAAATGGTGACCAATTGAAACGTGTGTGCTTTTCCAAATATCATATTTTCCTGTGACAAAAAATATATACTGAGTGTCCCGCTTTCATAGGCTAGCACAGATATCTGGGTTATCTAACATGCATACAAAAAAAATCAAAATATTCAGTAATATATTGAAGCAAAAAGCTTTTTGAGACAATGGCATCGAATCACCCTCATGTCAAGCAATCTATACTAGGCACCACCCCTAACTTTGGTTTTTCAAAATTGCAACCCCATGTTATTTTTTTTGGGTTCATCTTATATAGAACTTCTCATTCTCAAATCGTAGTTACCTATATATTCATTCTCGGAAATTCCAAATAAGTATAATTTCAACAATAATTATGAAAAAATATCGATTTTTGCTTGAATGATTGTTTGAAATGACTTTTATCAGTTTGCTACACACTTTTATCAATACCTCTATACCGCATATCCACCAGATTTCGTGTGTGTAGCTCTGATTTTCCAAGGAATAACTGGATGTAACAGTATAACAATTAAGCCTGCAAGTACATTTACTGGCCTTTTAAAGCTCTAGGATACCGCCGGTATATATACATTTCGTTATAAACAGTAAAAATGTTATTTGGATCATGAAAGTGAAGAACTATTTCGTATTTATTTTCTGTCAAGGTTATCGATAACGAATTTGGCACCAGAATAATAAAACAAATACGGTGCAAATACACCGAGATTGTTCACTGGGACATCAATTGAAAAACACATAAATTTTATATAATAACAGTAATAATTACACATCATAATATTCGATCAGGAAGTAATGACGTGATATAATCAACATAGGTACTTACGTAACATAAACCAGATAGCACAATGTCATATTATTCATAGGATAATCTCAGAGAATATTTGAATATTCTCAGAATATTCTCTCAATATGATACACCTCATTATATATTGATGAATAATATGAATAGCAAGATGTCAACACTCAATAAAGTGAGATAATTATCATTGAGGCTAGCATCAAAATATCATATTTTGATACGATTCTGAATATTCTCAGAATATTAAAAAAGAATATTTTGAGAATATATCAAACTGAATGTTCATAGAATACTTATTTGTTGCAGGATGAAAATATTATATGATCATATTCTGAGAACATTCTTTCAGAATATTCTAATATACGCGTATATTTGAACGTTGTCAGAATATTCATATTCTGACAACGTTCTGTGTGTGAATATTCTGTGCTGTCTGAGAATGTACCAGACTATATCTGAAGCGTTTCATTATTCCTAATGAAAAAACAAAAAGAATTAGTACCTATACAGGGTGTCAATTTGAAAACTTCCCACCCTTAATATCTCCCTCCAAGTCGATAATATGGAAAAACGAAAAGACAGGTCGATTTTATTTTCGAGGGGGACATGGTTCTAAAATATTTTCAGCCCCGCGGCGTTGCCGCTTCTAACGAAAAGAAGCAACAACTTTGTTATTTCAAATGGAACACCCTGTATTTTATTGCATTTTTAGATTCTCCCTGAAAAGCTGATTTCATCAATGTATCTCACTTGGGGTCTAGCAGGAATGATTACAGAGATATAGGGTGTTCAAAATCGAGATTTTACAACTTTAGAATTTTTTTGAGTCGAAACTATTCATTATTGGTCAAAACGGCTTTCATGTCCCTATCTCAACTTTTGATTTACTATCTACTGACATTTATTTGAAACAAATACAGGGTGATCAAAAGTCTGAATCTTGAACCACCCTGTATTTGTTTCAAATAAATGTCAGTAGATAGTAAATCAAAAGTTGAGATAGGGACATAAAAGCCGTTTTGACCAATAATGAATAGTTTCGACTCAAAAAAATCCTAAAGTTGTAAAATCTCGATTTTGAACACCCTATATCTCTGTATAATCATTCCTGCTAGACCCCAAGTGTGATACATTGATGAAATCAGCTTTTCAGTGAGAATCTAAAAATGCAATAAAATACAGGGTGTTCCATTTGAAATGACAAAGTTGTTGCTTCTTTTCGTTAGAAGCGGCAACGCCGCGGGGCTGAAAATATTTTAGAACCATGTCCCCCTCGAAAATAAAATCGACCTGTCTTTTCGTTTTTCCATATTATCGACTTGGAGGGAGATATTGAGGGTGGGAAGTTTTCAAATTGACACCCTGTATATATACCAATAAGTATTGTTCAATAAGACTGGAAGATGGCACAACTTCAAATGAAATGACAATTCCCTTTCTGAACCCGAATGTACTGATGAAAACCATTATTTTACTAATTAAAGTAGAAAACAAACTGTCGATTTCGAGAGTTGATATTAGACATTTTAAAAATTGCCTAAATACTTATATCCTAGAATGATGCAGAAGGGTCTTGGTTTTTGAGAATCTTTTTCTTTCTCAATATGCACAATACGTTGAAAGCTTGTCTTCGGTAATTTCAAACAAATTGTAACCAAAGACCAAAGAATAAAAACATCAATCAACGCTTTACTACTTCTTTGATCGAATCATCTGTCTATAATGACAGAATCAACTATGAAAAATGAATTCCATGATCAGCATGACAATCTCATTCTATATAAAGATGAATATTTGACAGTAAAACATTTTGTTGATATCAGAATACATAACATTAACAAATTGAATCAAGAATACCAGGGATGAGATTCGATATCCTCCAAAATTTCATTGGTAAATAATGAAAGGAACCATGAGAATATTATTCAGTCTTGAATAATCTTCAAGAAAATAAAAGTTAGCTACCTACTGAAATATCATTTCTAGTGGACAATACCTACCACATAGGTATACTAAAGTAATCACAACCTACAGCAGAGTGCCAGTTTCAATTTTTTTTTCCTAGAAAGCTTTGTTTTCAAAGTATTTTATTAATTATCCTTCAAAAATTAGTACTGGTGATAGTGTACTAGTGGAGAACTATCATCATATTTTATGATGAAATTTGAACCAGATCAACTCTACCTAGAGAATGTGATCACAAAAATTATAAATAATAATTGATTCTCCACATATATGATTCAATCCTTTTATTTATATCATCTTCACACACAGTGATAATACTGCCATTTTGTACTGTAGGAAGTTGTTATAAAAGAGTGTAATTAACCTTATTATGTCTCATAAAATAAGTTCAAATAGCCCAATTGTCAATTGAGTGATTGGAATTCTATAAATTTTTGAAGCAGCAAATTGTAAATCTTCACCCTAATTCCAACTTTTTTTGTGAAAGGTGTAATTGAATAAAGAGTTCAAGGGAAGAATTCGATTTTTCATTTCATCAAATATCAACATAAAAAGGTAGGTAGGTACTGAATACTTATAATAAGAAACACCCAGCATCTCAACCTATTTGTCATCAGTTCATGGAAATTTCATGATCCCATATCCTGTGGAATTTTTGCTATTATAATGTCTCTGATCATAAATGTTAAAAACTTTAAAAAAAATAATGGTCATTTCTAGAAGTTAGAATATTTATCATTTGCTGCTAATCTCAGTTGGGCACTCAATTCTATACACAATTCTTTTTGTTCAATAATCTCTCTTACTAAATTTATCTTTTTTATTTGTAAAATTTGATTCTCTCTGTGCAATAGTGACATCACTTCATCTAAACACTCCTGTTTTGGTATTGTTTGTTTTGAAGAACTAGCACCTGTAGTGCATGTGTCACTCATTTGTGATTTCAAACTTTCAATTTCTCTTCTTTCTGAATTCATTTCTCTAATCAGTTGTTCCTTCAAGTGTGTTAAACCATTTCTTTTATAAGTGAGCAACACTATATCATCATCAAAAAGAAAATCATTTTTCAATTCTTCTTCTGAGCAGTCAGACTCTTTTAATGCTTGGATTTTAGATATTTCTTCTTTTTGAGGACTTGGTTCAGGTTCAGGTATAGGATCCAGTGCTGCTGCAGAATGAACAGATTTTACTGAGATGCTATCTTCACTTTCTTTCATATTGGAGTCTGAAATAACAACTGTTTCTTCTGTGATTTTCTGCATGCTTTCAACCTCTCTTTCTTCCTCATTACTAATTCTTTCATCACTCTTTTCATGTGTTTCTTGGACTCTTTGTACTATCTTCAATCTCCTCTACAAAAATAACATATGATGAGTGTATTTTCTGATATTTAGTATCAACAGACATCATTACCTTTAATTGTGTTATAATTCTTTGAACTTCCCACAACTTTTCTTCCCTTTCTTTTGATATACAACCCACATTCATTTCTTTATGAATCTGAGTCAATAATGACTCCTGCTTCTTGAGTTCTGATTCCAACAAGCAAGAATTTTCTGGAAGTTGGGCTCCAGAATTGAGAGGTGGTATGTACTTGAATATCACAACATCAGGAAACAATGCCTGACTATGATGTAGAAGTGCTTGTAGCAAGCGTGATGATATATGAAATGTATGATTCAAAGCTGCAGATATACTTTGTTTGCTCATTTTGTTCTGCTTTTCCTGAAATGATGATCTGATAATAGATTATGAGTATGATATTAATTCATAAGTTCACCATACATTCAGTGAAATATTATGTAAATGTACAATCAGCCAAGACAGAAGAAGTCTATTCAAAAAAGGTAAATGTTCCACTAGTATCTTCAGATGTTTCTCTCTTGTATTCAAATTAAGAATGGCACCAGCTTCCTCAAAACGAATTAACAGGTCATTGGTAAAAATTGGTTCAGGAAGATCCCTTGAAGAAAATATCATGGTTAAACAATTCAATGTTCATCTCCATGGAAGTACCTCAAGAACATTTTGAGTAGACTAGTGGCTGTGGGTACATCATAATCAGATAATTTAACAGTTTGTCGGTTGTTATACATTTTTCTTATTTGTGAAACTTTTGTTTTTGTACCACTGATTTTATAGACTCCTTCAAATGCTATACCTACTGCTTCTACATAATCAATACAGTCTCTGATTGGTACAGGGATATCTACACCATCATGGCACCTGCTCCTTTGAACTGATAGTTCTAAGTTCACACCAAATACTGGAAGAACTTCTGAAAATCACAAAAGAATAATGAATTGAATTGTGTCAATTACCTTATTTTACCAGCTATATCAATTGTTTCTTCTATGGGCTGTTTAACTTTCTTTCCTTTGTCCTTTTCAAATTTTTTATCAATTTTTTTCTCTTTGTCTTTCCTTTTATCTGACACATCTTTATCTCTTGATTTGTCTCTTTTCTCTTTGGATTTTGTGGTGAATTTGAATGATTTAGATTTTTTTGACTTTGAAGGGCTTCTAAAAATAATCTTGAACCTATTTAAGAGGCAAACGGAAACCACAAATCACAAATATATGTGATAGTTCAAATAAATATACCTGGATTTGCTTCCTTCATCTGAACTTTCTCCTTCAAGTGCTGCATATCCACGTTCCTTATCTTTTTTATCTTTCTTGTCTTTTCTTTTTCCAATTAGAATATCTTTTTTAACCCCCTTTTCTGTATCATCACTATCTGTAAACAGGAACAACTATACACATTGAGATAATTGTTATTGCCTTTTATCTTACAATCACTTTCATTATTACACTTTTTGTTTAATTCTGACGCATATAAGCCTGGGAAATCTTTCATCACATCAGGACTATCAAAATCCATTTCTAAAATTTAGAGAAGGCTTTACAGTTCAAATATTTGCATAATTTATTTATTTATTTATGATTCACAGTCTGTGGTGGCTGCATATATATTAATTATTTACTTTTCTGTTCCTCTTTCACAGACACAGACCACTGACAAGTGACAACTAAACTGACATAAATGGAAGTGGCTATTCGCACGCAGTGCATGCATCAATGAACTGAATTGAGTTCATTGGCATGCATACGTACGAACACGTACAAATAGTGATAGCGCACTTTATCCGTACGTTTACGTGTGAATAAACAACAAAACAACAACAACGGTACGTATATTACACGTGAATTATATTCACGTATACTTGGAATAGATATGCAAAAGCCTATCCGTACGTATATGTACGATGATAGAAGTAGTATTCATTCAATCTAAACTAACTGAAATATTCCACTAGAACTGAACTGAATGACGTTCATTATGTACAATGCATGTCAACTGATTCAGTTCAGTTCAAGTGAAATGTGTCAGTTAGTTCAGAATGAAAGAATATCACTAGAGAGTTGAAGTAATAAACTGAACGTAGACTTCCACGTAGACGTTAACGTACGTAATAACACAATTTGTTTTTGGTTTGTATTATTCTTTGGTTGTTTGTTGGGACCTGAACATTTATTTTCGCTCGAATGAGAGAACTCCTTGGGCATTTCAAATCTGATAATTTTGACTCATCAGCATATTTAGAGTATAGATTGGTTGGTACGTTGATAGTTAAGGTATACGTGAAGGTACGTAGGATAACATACACCCGTAAGCCCACTACCAACGCGAAAGTGAAGAATTGAAAAATGCGCATGCATAGCTGTCAATTTCTACGTTCACGTTGACGTACTTGGCACCACTTCAACTCTCTAATGATTATTCCTCTTATTCCAATTATTTGTTCCAAAATTGAAAACATAGTCTTGTCTTATCAATGCATGTTATCAAAATAATTGACGTTGAGAATGATATTCAAATTTCACCAGAGCTGATCAAATCAACTGCTGCTAATGACTGATGAAATTCATGAAAACGTGTTCCGAATTACAGCATAATATTTTTGATTCTATATTTCGGAACACTGTTTCTCAACAGAGTCAGTGGATTTACTAACAGTACTGACCAGTTGAATTCGGGATATAGCCCTCGAGAGCAAACATATACTATCCATTCTGCATATGATCGGCTCAGATTTCTGCTGGAATTAAACCTGACCACCGAAAGGTGGTGTGGAGTAGGAGTCACCATTGTCAGCAATCTGTCAATAATGAAGACATAGTATTTCTTCAACGAGCACGTAATGATACTCATTTCCCTCAAGAATGAAGTTTGCAGCATGAGTCGTAGGCCCCGAAAGGTCTCTTCGTGGTGACTAACCTACTATTTTTTGTCTTCGCTGCGTCTCCAATAACTACAATATTGTACACCAGAGTAGATTCTGTACAACTGATACCGTTCGGTGTTATATGGTGGGTGTAAACCATATATCACCGAATGGTATCAGTGCTTCACTGTGTTCGTTAAAAAAGTGTTGTTGGAGATGAATTACCACCAAAACAGATCGTTACACCTAGAGGAAGTGTGAGAAGTGTATTGCAGATCGTTGTTAGGTTAGGGATCCGAGTTTGTTTTTAGAGCATAAACAACACTCTCCGTTTTCTATATCATTTGATCATTTTGGTCAACGTTCTAATCCTAGGATGGATTATACCACTATTGATAAAACAGATTTCATTGATTGATCCTCGTCAGAAGAACTCATAATTGATTCACCATCTAAATTCAAGAAACTGTGAATGATTTGATCATCACTGTCCATTTTTTTTAAGTCGAAAGAGTTTCTACCATGCATATATGTACCGGGTGAACAACTAAGAACGGCTGTCATATCTATCATTCTTCCAACTTTGATAGTTAATATCTTCCGGCAAAAAGTTCATCATGTTGCGGTTTTCGTTGGTCTGTTGATATTAAGTTTCTCTATCACATCGTATAATGATATGCATACAATTCTATCTCAAACTTGTATCATTATTTCTTGCTGAGATATGGCCAACAGCCGTTCTTAGTGCTTCACCCGGTACTATTTCTATATATGGCGCATCGCCTATATGATATCTCATCAAGAATGGGACCAAACTGAGAGGTACTTTTTGAATCTATAAGGACGGAAAGTTTAGGATGAAAAAATTTTAAAGTCGTAGTCATATTGGTTCAACAAGTTTCGTATTATGTTTTCCCTACGTCGGCAACAACGCCATTTGGTCGATGTCGTTACCTATAGAGACAGAAGTTGGTCCCGCTTTGAGGACACCTATGCTTCATATATGAGTAGTAGATATATGCTACCATGCAATTAAAATACGCGAGATACGCCAATCAGCTTTTGAAGTTCAACCACTAGTCTGAACGAATTCGTGTGGTCCGACCGTGGGCTACCCACATATCGAACGCAGCCTTTACTACACCACAAGCAACGAACAGGATATCAATTCACCACACTCCACTCCATTACACGTCCACGCCGAAAAGTGTAGTGTAGAACTAGTATGAATTTTATGCAGAAACAGCGAACAAACATCAAATGTCTGCCTCTGTTCAACTGAACAAATGAATCAGAATCAGATGATCAAGATGATACGTTGATCAAGATACAGATTGTTTACATCACGTGGACACCGCTCACGATCAGCTGACTGTTATGTTATAAAACACCAAAAAACACTAAAGTATGGTTATGACTACTTTCCTTTTTGATTATCTCTAGTATTTATCGTGAATTTTTACTTTAGCGATCTCAATATGCTGATACTTTTCATTTTGCCGACCCTTCTACTGTTTCTGGCTTGGAAAAAATTCAAACAACCCAAACCAGCTAAGTCAATAGCGGGAAGGCATATTGTTGTCACTGGTGGCTCTAGTGGAATTGGCAAGTCAGTTGCAGTTATAGCTGCTCAACGAGGTGCCCATGTAACAATAATCGCAAGAAACGTTGATAAGTTAGAAGAAGCCCTAATTGAAATAAAAAAATACTGTGTCAATGAAGAACAAATGATCACCAAGGTCTCAGTTGATGTGGCAAATTTTGAAGACATTGAGAACAACTTATGTGAAATAGAAGAAATAGTGGGTCCCATTTACATGTTGGTGAACTGTGCAGGCATGGCTATTTGTGGAAGAGTTGAGGACTTCACTAAGCAACAAGTCAAACAACTTGTTGATGTTAACTTCTTAGGCAGCTTCTATCCAGTTAAAGCTATTGTGTCCAAGTTCAAGCAAAGAAAGGAAGGAATAATTGTACTGACAGCATCCCAGGTAGCCTTAACAGGGATGTATGGATATTCAGTTTACTCTGCTTGCAAATTTGCCTTGAGGGGATTTGCTGAATCTCTTCACATGGAAGTCAAGAATTATAATATTTCAGTAACTCTGGCCTTACCACCTGACACAGACACACCTGGCTTTGAAATTGAGAACAAGACAAAACCTGTGGAAACTAAACTTATATCTGAAACAGGGGGTCTTGTCAAACCAGAAGAGGTTGCCAAGACCCTCTTAGATGATGCACTGGTAAGATTTCCACTGTTTATTATTACATCCCTTCAGTATTATTAGTGTCTGAGTTCATGAACTTGTGCTTCTTTTACAGTAATGTATTTTTTTTAGAGTGGAAAATTCTTCAGCTATGTTGGCTTTGAGTCCTACATATTAACAACCCTTTGTGTTGGAATGAGTCCATTTGCTTCCTTTCTAGAAGTTATTACTCAAGCTGTATTATTAGGTCCATTGAGATTGGTGTCTGCTTTCTATATAATGTCATTCCAAAACATTGTGAAAAAATGTCACCTGGAAAGAGAGAACAAAAAAGAAGACTGAAAGCTTTCAAGAGGGCCATTCATAGTATTCTAGGGAGACTTTTCTAAAATTGTGTACACATTCCTTTTGTTGTGGTACTCAATGATATTCTTTGAGTTTCTACTCAATTTTATCTCCCTCAAGTCACCAGTAGTATTTGCCCCCTCAGTTATTTCTCTTAAGTCAATGAAAGTCATGGGAAATGGCCTTCTCCATCAAACTGTATAGTTACCTCTTTTTAAGAATTTCAATATCTGACTCAATACTAAATTATCAGTTAATATTTTCTGAATGGTGCTTTGAATTTCAACAGTGTATGATTGGGTTAGTATGCACATAACTCTTTGGTATGCATATTGTGATGAAATGCCTATACTGACTTATAGGCAGTAATGCTTTGCTGTAAAAATTAACATATGTGTTTGTCAAAAAGTGTATCAGGATAAAAAAGAAAAAATAGGTTCATGAAAATATATAATTCTATAAGAGTCTCTCTCATGTCATAAGAACTGAGAAGTTATATGAATCATGAATCATTATGAATGTGCAAATATTTCTTTAAAGTAAATATAAGAAATTTAAAAATCAAGAAAATGAGTAAATCCGGAAGAAAATGTCATAAATAGCAATAATAATAAGTGAATGAAGAAGACCTTCAAAAAGACTGAGTTTCTCTTTGTGAAATAACTTTATTAATATTCCTTTTATGTTATTTATGGTGGATTTATACAGCATAAATCAAAAATTGCTTAAACATTACGATTTGGAAACAATGTCTGAAATTTTTTGGTTAATTTTTATTTGAATCTTTTTAAAAAAATACATATTTGAATTATTTTCTATTTGAATTATTTTCCGTTTCACTCGGTATAATAGGTAGTTATTTATTCCATATAAGTACTTCCTTCATTTTTGTTCTTCTAGTCGGCTCAGGTGTTGAGAGAATATAATGTTTCACTTTCAACAACCACCATATATATGTGAAAAAATATATTGTAAATCCTTATAATTTTGTTAAACATTCAATAGGTAATCATTAAAATATTGTTGAAGTATAGGTATCTAATAAAGAACTGCAAGAGTTCTGAGTTGATTGAGAAGTTAATTGAATTGATAGATATACCTATATTGTTATTCAGGGTATTTCAAAAAAAGGTGACTCCCATGCTAGGTTAGGTAGAACACTGCAAAATGGATTGGGATTGTTCAGTTACAAAAAGTGGTGACTGCATCCGTTTTCAAGATACAAGGCCTTGAAAAAAATATTTTTTTTTACAGATATTTTACGATTATAAGAAAGTATGTCCAAACTACTGGCAACTGTTATGAAATTTTGAATGGATATGACTGACACATTGCATGAATTTGTTTTCATATCTGACTCTCATAGAGGGCGCTTCTTACACGGTTCCTACTGAGTAATTTTAAACATAACTTTTTTGAGTTTATATTTCCTTAGACCAAACTCAATGTGAACTTGAACATCATTCAATTCGACAGTGTACCGTTTTCGGAATATTTTGATTTGAAAATAAATGGAGTGGAATATAGGTATATGTATTATTGAGATCAAATACTTATTTCTTCAAATTCAAAAGCAATAACATATAATAAAAGCAGTTATAGATTGAATAAAGAATCACAAGTAGAAATTTGAGAAACATTTTACTAAAATCATACCATATATATATTGAATATATTGAATCAGTAAATGTTCAAAATGTCCTCCCTTTCCACAGATACAGGATTTTATCTTTTTTACTTTATGAATGCATTATTCGCCTAAACGGTTGACTCTTGACGTGAATTTACCTCTGTATCATAAACTTTTTTCTTAAGATACAACCAAACTGTAATCCGCCATGTTTTTAGTAAATTTATTTTGATATTTTTGTTCTGATTCATGAAGTTCAGCATTATAAATACATTGGTGTTTTCGGTTTTCAGTAAATATAATCTCCAAAAGTTCAAAAAAAATTCCAATACCTACCTCCTGTCCCTATCCTCCCTAGGAACGCACGATGTTCTTTGAAAATTATAGGGATTCCCTTTCGTGCGCTCCAAGCGATAAAAAAATAGTGATAGTTTTTCATGATATTAACTATAGGTAGGTATGTAATACATAGCTTTATATCAGTTACAGTTATTACTTCATCCTTTTCTAATCAAAATATTCCGTAATAGGTACACAGTATCGAGTTTTACCAAGAGTGAAAGATCTAACCTCAAAAAAGTTAAGTTTAAATGTACTCGGTACGAATAACCGTGTAACTAGCGCCCACTATGAGAGTAAGATATCAAAACAAATTCATGCGATACTGATCTCGGCATGCGATGTGTCAGCTTCCAAAACACATCTATCCAAATTTCATTACAATGTTGCCAGTAGTTCCGCCATGATCCTGCGCTCCAGATGTTATTTTCAACACCTTGTATCCAACTTATTTTGCAGTGTATTGAATTTTCAAGATTCAAGAACAAATATATAGAAAAACATAATATGAAATACATCTATTTATTTATCATTTATATAAGCTAGGTAATTTTCCTATGAGTATAATATAATCAAACCTCTTAAAAAGCTAGGTACTCATATACCAATACTTACCTATGTATTTTACAAGGTATATTACTATAGTGATTGTGATCAGCATATGATGAAGCTCTTGCATGAGTGGGAATAATTTCTATAGATAGTTATATTCATTGTTTTTCAGGAATTGAATTTGATTGATTTGTTCGAATAATCATTGATTCATAATAAGATTAGAAGTTCATGGTTGGCCTTATATAATTTCATCTAATTTAAATAAATCTATGAAATTTTGAAATCTATATAGTTCATTTTCATTATTTTATTTCCAGTGCATATCCTTAACATGTCCCTTGTGAACGTTTAAGTACTTACTTCATAAACAAAATAGGTTTATAAGTGAAGTACCCATTAGTTGTACTCACGATGGAATTATTATTCTTATGATATTTGAATCATGAAATAAAATTAATCCTTGGCTGAATAGGTAAGTGTCTGTTTGATATCCATGTATGAATAATAAATATTTTAATATGTTCAGATGTCTATTTATTATATCATCTGGAATTGTAGTCTGGCGGAAACATCAATCTTTGGAATACAAGAAATTTGAATTCATATTTCCCGCCACGCTGAATCGATGTGAGTTTGCGCAATACCAAATGTCTTTCTATCAATCTAGCGTACGTTGTAATGAATGTGTCAGTCGCGGCTGAGAGATAAGTTAACGATTTTAGAAATATTGTATATACGTATTATTTATATATAATTTATTTCCTTGCTTACATATTTCTCTTCACATTTACGAATATTGGTTATGATGGATAGGTCGGATGTTCTTCAGATAGGCTCGAGTATCAACATTAAAAGGACCGATGGTGAGTACCTACAGTTTATTTTCAGTTCCATGAAGTGTCAAGAAAAAACATTATTAGTTAATGTTTTCATGTGGGCAAAAACGATTCACCCATTTCTAACGGTACGTAGACATCATGTAGACATAAACAAATCTTTTTTGGTTATGTACTGAAACCCTGCAATGTATCCTTATCTATTTTTTCAACAATAAGTTGCATGAAACATGAATATTCACGTTTTTCCTTGTACGCCAATCATGTGGGGACATACTATGATTCAAAATTGATTTGTCAGTTACATTTGAGCTGAAAGAGTACCTAGTCCAGTGTAATTTCAAAATGCGAGCATATTTCAAGTACCTGCCCATCTATGCTGTAATTACAATACAAAATAACATTTTATTTTATCTATGAATAGACACAGAATTTTCTTTGCACACTGGTTACTGCATATCCAAAATAGACTACTTTTCAAATCACCTCATCAGCTGTTCAAAATGTTTGAAATATTTCTTTGGTGTGCAGATACTTCAGGGTAGGTGTGTATGTTATTACTGATAAGATTGAATATTAAAAAAATCTAAAATATGAGTTCATTCAAAATACTACTGTGCATATCTCTGTGGTAGTTGAGTATCTCTGATCTAAATAATTTCATGGTGAACTTGAAAAAGTTGCTTTGAAATATTCCTCATAAGGCAAAACATTTTAATTCTTGTGAAGGATTATTAATTCAGTGACTGCTTGCTTGTTATCATGAGGATTTCAAGTCACTGAGTCACACCTGTGTGAGAAAGTAAATATTGATAACACACACAGTGTGTGGAACCCTTCAAAACCATTTAAAACTGAACCATTGTTTATCTAAAAGTAGTAACCACCCACACTCCTGATGGTTTTGCCACATCCAAATTCAAAGGAGAAAAGGAGACAAAGCTATTGAATATCTTTATAAGTATTTGATTGACTCATCTCTTTCCCTGGTTGATTTGGGAATCTACTGAATAAATAGAATGAAATGCTTGAAGAAAGGGGTGGTCTGGAGAAGATTAATTTCGATTTTTATATTTTCTGACCAAGACGGTTTTTCAACGAGGACAACGTGACGTAAACGTGGGTATGATGGTACCTTATATGGTCAGTACTCTGTTGAGGCAAGGTCAGTCTACCTGATTCAACAGCTTCACAGGGCCAATGACAATAATTATTACATATATTTTTTTTGTTTTTTTTTGTGGAATTCTCACTCATAAGACACTAGAAAAAGTTTATACATATCAAGATACATTATACAAATATACAGGATATTTTATTTTTTATCAATACCTACACCTCAATAACTACCTACTATGAATTTTCCTGTGAAACAAATTCAATCATACAAATACCACTGGCATACATAATTTTAAATATGAGGAATTGTGGTATAATGATATTTTTAGTAAATAATGACTATTTTTCTTTGAAGAGATTTGTTGAGGTCCCAGCATCAGATGCAAAATCGAATTTTACTCTTCAATTTGTTTTGTGGGACAAATGTCATAGAATTATTCCAGCAAGAATCATCTCTATAGGTTTGAAAAATATAATAACATACTGAATTTTGTTTTTTTTTGCTTATCAGTGGGTAAATAGGTATGTACCTGAATCTGCGGTCACCCAGTAAACTGAATTTTTGTTTGTATTGACTCATTACAGTAAATTACTGCGATAGGCCGATAGTTATGTAAAGCTTACTTCCGGATCGATGATAATGAAATTGTTGACCTCGACTAGGTCAATATTTTGCACAAAAATCATCATAGAATGAATTATTTGGTGATTGAAGAATGTTATAGCAAGGCTTTTCATTAATTTAGATCTTGTTTTATGAACCCAGAGGATTTTCAAAATCATAAATGGGAATTTCTTGATGATCCTCTGGAATTCATTGAACTGAGCTACTGATATCTGGCTACATGTCTCAAAATGTATCATCTAATTTAAATTGCCAAATAGTTCATTAATCAACAAATTATCCATTGTAATATATCATTGAATATAACTAAGTAATTGAGAAATGAGAACCATGACAAAAGAATGGGTGTGGCGTCCCAGGACTTTCACAACAAACTTGATTTCCCATAGTCAAGTAACACCATAGGTACTGTATTTATTCTAATCAAGCCGAAATATCCGTGAAAACGATTCTGCTCCACTGAAAATAGTTTATTATTCATCAAAAAAGCTATTCCATTCTGTTTTTTTGCACTAATTTATTTGAATAACCTATGCTATGTACATAATGATCACCTCAGGAAGCGCGTCAAGTTGGAAAAACTAACTGTAGATATTTCTTTCAACGATTATGTTTACCAGCAGATGAAGAGATTTTGCCTAGATTATCGACGAAAATATGATTGGCCCTAAAACAGGAACGTGCGAAACTCCACATTTAATACACTGTATGATTTTATTCATAATCTGCGTTTAGCGTTTTTCTGGAAAAGTACGTCTTTTATAGCAATAAACAAGAAGAAAATAATTTTGTCAGCCTAAAAGTTAATTTCAAACGAAGAAAATTAAAAAAGGGATACTTATTCACCAGGTAAAAAGATGATGAATGAGAAATTTAGTAGGTAAAGGCAATGACTCATACCAGAAAAGTTCTAGTTTTACCCAAATATAATGCAAAGTCTATATTGAGGTCAATTTTTTTTTAAAGAAAACATTTGATAGCTCTTTCAAAATAACATTCCCATTCAATCTGGAATCTTATAGTTGAAAATATAATAATAATAGTAGATTGTTTTACTAGGATTAAATGTGACACTTTGTTTGACAAGCGATATTTGCGTATACGAGGCGAAGCGACCGCGAAGCCGAGCACGCAAATTTTACAAGTCAAACAGAGTCACTCGAGGGGGTAATCACTCCCAATTTATGTGTCCCACAATGTAATACTATTACATGTATTACATGCCATTACACATGTATTGCATGAGTATTACATGACTATGCAATGTATTGCAAGGGTATTACAACAATATGTAATAGTATTGCATGTGTATTACATCGTATTACTCAGTATTACATGGTCATTCAATGGTATTACATGTAATTGTAATAGTATTGCACTAGTATTACATGACCATGTAATACTATTTCATTAGTATTTCACGATCATGTAATAGTATTGCACTAGTATTACATGATTATGTAATAGTATTACACTAGTATTACATGACTATGAATAGTATTCCTCAAGTTTATAACAGGTATACATCTCGGCCATGTTATATGTGATCACTTAACCTTTTTACTTCAATGTCATCATCTGAAATGGAATTATATTAATTACATGTACATACAAAGCGTTTTCCTAGGCATTTGTGGAAATCATAATCAAATTCAGGGCTAGTTCGATGGTGGTGTGTGAAAAAAAATCAAAAGTATGTTGGTGAATAAGGGTAGACAAACCAAACATAAATACTTTAATATTTGAACGAACAAATAAACATATACAAAGACAACTTTTTAAACATTAATACAAGTAATTCACATCACAAATGTGTTTCACATGTGTTTTTTATGGGTTTTGTGTGGTCCATTGACATGCAATAAAGTGGTTTTCATTTTTTTATCTTGAAACAAAGTGTGATACGGAAACACTTTAGGAAATAAAAAAGTTGTTTCATTAATTGCTCAATCCGTAAAACATATTTAAATTACACAAAGTCTTCGGCTTATATTTTTTTGTCAATGATATATTGGTTAAGGTGCCCCTCCCGACGCCACTGGACTTCATGATTTGTTTCTATTGATGGCTAAATAAGCGCCTCATAACTCAAAATAATGATACCGAAGTTCAACGAAAATTGTTGAAGCATGTTTACAATAAAAATAAAAAACCGATTCAAAAACAAAATTTGTACATTTTGTATTTTGAAAACTAAAAGTATAACATTCGAAATACAAATTTCTACATTTTCATCTTGAAATTAAACTAACGATTAGCTCCTTTCATTTCATCAGACAGGCTATGAAACACCTTAAATTGGAACGCTCTTCAATAGAAATGAAAGCACGACATTCTACTAATGGACCAAAATCGAGACCAAAATTATATAGTAGTAGTAGTAGTATAATCACAGAAGATGAACTTGGCCACTGAAATTGTCGCAGGTGTCTCTCTCGTTCCTGCAAGTCTCAGAATTCTACCTCAATTATTACGGAAGATACCTTGAGAAGTGATACCTTGAATGAGGCACTGTTTTATCACTCTGTAACTTTCTGTCAACGTTTTTCTGATTACCATTTCATGGAACCATTTATTTTGTGGAATACTGATGAAATGTGATCCCTCAATTGGCAAAGCAAATTAAAATAATAATAATTATGATTGGTATATATGGAACAGGCAACATGCGAATGCAGAAAATGCTTAAGTAATCTTTATAAAAATATATATATATTTCATTCATCACTCTGATTGAAGATAATGATAATCAAGACGACAGATAAGTAGATCGATGGAACCTTTTATTAATAATTGAAAGAAACACATTTTCCAAATGTTACATAGTGAGTACTATAATTCTGTTATTGTCAAAAACTCTCGAAATATGACAATGTTCAATGTTACTCAGACATTTTCAACAATACCGCTTTTTTCTAGGGGGGATAAGGTAACAACCCTAATACCCCCCTCGTGTACGCGCCTGTGGCCTGTGATGAGTTCATACATAACATTCTTCAGCTCACAACAGTCACAACCGAGCCAATGACTCATTTGTATCAATCATCTTTACTATTCCACAATACGAGGATTTATGTATCCAACATCTTCAAAATACCTCGTAAACAAGAACGAAAATCATGAGGAAAATGAAAAAACACCATAACATTACCTATTAGATGTTGAATTCAATCGAGGATACAATAATTATCATTTCATTAAACTTACCCGTCATGATTGCTGTCTTTTCGACTCATCATAATATTCGAATGATTAGAGTATTCAAATCAAATAGCTAATATTCACTTTTCACTTGCACTTGCTGACAAATCAAGTTATAAACGCGGGAAAAGGGTCCTTGAGAAATGGGTTGGTATGTTGCTTGAAATAGGACCAATCGGTAATTGAGATTTCGATTCAGACTGAGATTAGTGAGATTTACTTATACAGTTTCCTACCGCCAACTGTCGCGCTGGGTGTCGCGTCAATTGGACGTGGAAAATTGGACGCACGACTATTGGTCGCAGTCAATTGGACGCGGCGACAATTGGACGCGGCGACAATTGGACGCGGCGACAATTAGACGCGGCGACAATTCGACGCGGCGACAATTGGACGCATGCGTAAATAAAAATAATTTTATAATTCCAATGAAATTCATTGTATAAAATATGAAATACTGATGGGCTTATATCCATAATTATAACAAATACCTATGGCCTCGTTTGACAATTATTTTCCTATCTCATATCTCGCGTTCATTTCAATTTTCATGAGTGAGAAGACTACTTTAGTGTCAACATGGTTCTTGAGTTTGTGAAAAGTGAAAGGGGTAACCCAATGCTTCTTACACAAAAAGGAGCGTATTGTCGGAGAAAAAACAATCTGGAAATGTGCTGATTACAATAAGAATCGCTGCCCAGGAAGGGTGCATTCGGTGCAACAAGCAGGTTAGGTTAGGTTAGGTTAGGTATTTGTTATATTATAGATATGAGCCCTGCATATTCCATGCAATAAATTTCATTGGAATTATAAAATTATTTTTATTTTCGCGTGCGCTCAATTGTCGCCGCGTCCAATTTTCGTCGCGTCCAATTGTCGCCGCGTCCAATTGTCGCCGCGTCCAATTATCCGCGTCCAATTTTCGTGCGTCCAATTGACCACGTCCAATTGCCGGTAATCCGTCGCGCTGCCTGTGTTTTTGTTTGGAGTTTGTGAGAATATTTTGAAGATGGCATTAGTTGTGAAATCAAAATCTGAGTGAAAACAAATGAAACTTTGTGCACTCCAATAATTATATCAATTCTCCAATTCTCTTATCCTATCATTCACAATAAATGTAATGTATATTGATTGTGTAAATAATGATTTAATGATCAGGCTACAAGAGACTTTTCTAGAACTGCGTGTGTTCTTTGAATATTTCTGAAATGAACTAAATCTCTAACTTGAATTTGTGATAGTATTTTACAAGTATTACATCATTATGTAATAGAATTACACAGGTATTACATGGCCATGTTCAAGTATTGCACGAGGTATTGCACAAGTATTACATGACCATGTGGTAGTATTGCATGAGTATTACTTGAGTATTGCATAGTATTGCATTAGTATTACATAGTATTACATCAGTATTGCATTGTATTGCATAGTATTGCTTAGTATTACATCAGTATTGCAAAGTATTACACAACCTTTACATGGTATTACACAAGTATTGCATAATCATGGAATAGTATTACAAAAAAAGTTGTCCCACATATTACATAAGTGATTACCCCCTCGGAGTCACTTTTGATCCGAATGAAACATGCTATTTTTTCTGCAATCGAAATAACTGATATCTAATTAATAAAATATAAGTAAAAATACCACTAATTTGAGTCACTTGAGCATGTCTGTCAAAAGCAGCTATCATAATAGCTGATGTCATCCGAAATGTTTTTAGTTCCTAGTAGTTGAACTTTAACTTAAGCTCCTAGACACTGAAAGTGCTGCCTAGCAACATACATACTAATCATTTTATTGTGACAGTAAGAAAAAAGTCAACTTCAAGAGCTAATTTTGGATCAAAAATGGACGACTTTTGAGCCGATTGCAGAAAAAGTACTTTATTGAACATATTTAAATGTATTCAAATATTCAGTTCAATATAATTAAATGACCATTCCTCAGTCAATATACCGGGTGTCCCAGTATACCTGTTCCAATAGATTATCTCAGCCATTTTGAAAGATGAAAATTTGAAAATTACATGATCTACTACAATTCTAATAATTTGAAATTATTATTGATATCAAAATCAAGATTGCAAAAATATCGTAGCCTACTGCAATTCGTTCAATTTGAAATTTCTATTGTCGTTTCCTCCATCGAATCAAATTTAAAATACAAAGTGTGATACATCGTTGGAACGGTAATTTTGAGTAGAAATCAAAAATTGCAAAAAATATACAGGGTGCTATTTGAAATAAAAAAGTTACAGTCACTTCTGGTCAAACCGGAAGTGACTTTCAATTTTTGTATTTCTCATTTGAAGCTTCATTGAATGAATTGAGGATCATGCTATTTTCGAATTTTTATTTTTCGAAATCGCCCAGATAATTCATTGGAACAGGTATACTGGGACACCCGGTATATAATACTTCTTGTTTTTCATAAAAATTATGTTTCAACCATGAAAAGTGAGGGTGGACAATACTTGTTATTATCAAAGCCATGAAAAAACAGATTACCACATACCAAAAAATATGGATCTCTTTATTTTCGATGCTTCATCCACACTCCATATATCATTTTGGCAGCATTATTTTGAAACAACCTGTATCCTGTATGTATATGGATGACATTGAACAAAAATGTCCCATATTCATAAATGGTGTGACAGTTAATCAGAACAGAATTAAATTGTATTCTTTCAAGTATCTGATTAATTGTTTTTTTAGGGCGAGTACATTCTGCCATTGTGGCAGCGATCAACGATGAAACTCGTTGTGCAACGGTGGAATGGTTCGAACAGGGTGAAACTAAAGGAAAAGAAATCGACATGACCGCCATAGAATCTCTGAACCCAGATATAATTATTTTGAAACCCGGTGAAAAATACGCTACAGAAAGGACGATCACCCAACAGACAGACTTCAATAAACTACAAAGGGTAAGTGCATGGATACTCCATTTGAATCTCATATAATTGAAGGTCAACACCAGTTTGTGAAGACATACTGAATATAAATTGGTTCTCTCCAGTAATGAAAAAAGATACAATCTTTGTAACTCTGCTAATCTGGCCACCAACTTGAAACACTTTTTTTGTATTTCTTCAAATGCTCAAACCATATATTGGCTCACCCTGTATTAATTGAAAATAAAAATGTTTTGGTGTATTTAAAGGAAAAAGATGGTCTTGATTGGGGCCTTACGTCTAGACCAAGAATTCAGGTACCTACATTGAATTCATTTTTAGCTTGTCAATGTGCGCATGTCTTAACTATTTCCGGAAGAATTTTATGGGGGTGGTTTGTAGTGTTGTATTCTTTGTATTCTTTCGTGAATTTGCGATTTTATCGACTGAGTTGAAATTTGCTTTCTGTGTTAATGTATGTGTGTGTACAAGTACAAACTGAAAGTCAGTTTGGGTACTTATTAAAATTGTTCTCATTAATTTTGTTTCATTAAATTATCATTCATTTAATTGAATTCTTGAGTTACATTTCTGGTATATTTTTATTTTGAAATTTGATATTTTCTCAATGCAATGACGAATTCAAACTGTAAGGAAAATCATACTTGATAATAATAATTTTAATGATAATTTCAATTTCAATGATCTCTGCATTGAAACAAAATTCTCATGGTAAGCCAGATTTCCTGTAATTTTTTTGCCATTTTTCAGTCATGAATTATTCTGTATGCGAATATATCAGGTGGTCACAAAAAAACCGGAAGTTTTTATTTTCCTCATGGTATCATCATTTCTCAACCGAATTCGAATTTCTTGGCGTCTTTTCATAGCTAAAGGGCTATAGTATACAGTGGAATATTTTAAAATTCCATAATGAACAAAAACAAAATGGCGAATTATACCAAAGTATTGTCATTTACAGAAACCGCTGGAGAAAAAGAAAATCAGATTTTTTCCAACCTGTACCGATGTGATCTTAGGCTATTCATTTCTGAAGAGAATGAGTACTCGAACATCGAAATCGAACGAATAGTCCAGTAGATACAGTCATTTCTTTGCAATTTGTTATGGAGTGAATGTGCTAATCTCGTATAAACGATTATTATTATTTTGCTTCAGGCTTCATGAAAATTCAATCGAATTTGGATTTCTTGGAGTTATTTCAAAGATAAAGAACTGTAGACGAGATTCGCACATTCACTCCATAACAAATTGCAAAGAAATGAGTGTATCTACTGGACTATTTGTTCGATTTCGATGTTCGAGTACTCGTTCTCTTCAGAAATGAATAGCCTAAGATGACATCGGTACAGGTTGGAAAAAATCTGATTTTCTTTTTCTCCAGCAGTTTTTGTAAATGACAATACTTTGGTAGAATCCGCCATTTTGTTTTAGTTCATTGTGGAATTTTCAAATATTCCACTGTATACTTATAATAGCCCTTTAGCTATGAAACGACGCCAAGAAATTCGAATTCGGTTGAGAAATGATGAAACCACGAGGAAAATAAAAACTTTCCTTTTTTTTGGTGACCACCCGATAGATACAGTAAAAAAAAAATTAATGACTGCAATTGAGAAAATATGATAATTTTCTGAGAATGTTTTAATACTTGATTATTATTTTTCAACGGCGGTGCATTTCATGTTATAAATTATTTGTCTGATGTTGCAATTGCAGTGAATGCTCTAAAATTATACGTCAGTCTGGGACAAGTCATTGTCTTTCAGGATCATGTCTTCATGGGAAAGATTTTCGTCTAAACGATTACAGGTTCCTAAATCTCCACTGTTTTTATTTCATTGCCATTTTGTCCATTTCTTGAACATGAAACAGACATTTTCATGGTTCAATAATTGGTAACAATGTCAAATGTTCGCATAAAAAATACCTGTGTTGTCATGATATTGAAACATACTGAATTTTATAATTTATTATTCATATTTTTACTATTGATAAGTGTGTATGCAACACTTTTCTCAGATAAATTGTTGATTTCGGGCGATAGTTGAATAAATCAACAAAATTTTCTGAATTCATCTCTCAATTATCCTACATTTTTCCATGTGTGAATATGCATATAGGGTGTCCCAGGTTTAAAACAGGACCTTGCAAATCTATTAATAAGGCATCATTTGGAGAAAAAATGTCAACATTCTTGAATTTGAAAATATTAATAGTTTCTTCATGTCTTGCCATTTAAACCTGGGACAGCCGAAAGCATGAGGTATTGAACTGAATCAGTAAAGCCAGGAAACATTTAATTATTATAATTCTAAATCATATACAGGGTGTTTCTCAAAAGTGGCTCACTCAACTTTTTTGTTTCTACAGATAAAAAAATGAAATCAGGTGTTCAAGTATAGTTCATAAATATGCATTATTAGACTTATTCAATTATTTTCTGTCATTTCCGGTTTGGCCGGAAATGACCCTTATTTTCAGGTTTTTTAATGGCACACCCGGTAAATATCGATTATGTGGTATCAACGTGTTCCTAACAAAATACTCTTCTCAGATATGGTAATGAGCCACCCTTGATCTATTCGAAAAAATGAGTCAACATTATAATTACGATATTGTGAATTTTGAATCAACTTGTGAAACAAATGGCGTCCCACCGGTTTCCGGTCAAACCGGAAGTGACAGAAAATAATTGAATACGTCAAATAACACGCTGAATTTCATTTGTTTATCAGTGGAAATAAAAAAGTTATAGGGGTGAGCCACTTTTGAGAAACACCCGGTACAACTATTTGAAAAAAGAGTTCAAACATGTCTAATGAAATAAAAACATAGGATAAACTCGAGTTGAACTTTTGGCACTAGAAAAGTCAATCCAGGAGGGACAAAAAATTCTTCCGCTAAATTGTGAAGATTGTAGTTTACTTTTTTCATTCATGAATTATTGCGTCTGAAGCCTAAAGATAAGAATAACAGAGAATTATTTATACCTTCTTTATTAATGCCACCGAAAATAATGATAAAGAATATAATAATCTCGATCATGCAAATTCGTTTTTGCCAGTTTACAATATTTGTCAATGCAGCATACTGGAATAATTATGGATTTCAATACAGTCCTGACTCTATAATTATTGGAAATGAAAATTTGTGAGAACTGGCATTGGACAATCTATCGTTCTTGAGGTGGAATGATGATTTGAGAAAATTCGATATTTATCCGTAATTCGTCAGAACCATTGATTTTGTCTTTGCCTCCGTGTTCATTATTCTTTTATCGATTTGGTAATTGCACAATTGCTCGCATGACAACATACAACATTGTTAGACATACAGCAAAACCTACTTCAAAAATGGAATGTATCCCCAGTCAGCCACAATCATAAAGTACGGTCAATAATTAATATGCTTCTCTGAAATGTAAGTTGGCCAGTTCATCGATTTTCAATTATTCTAAATCCGATCATATTATGTTAGACTCAAAAATCAAACTGCATGGCAGAATTATGTAGGTTCTCATTCGTAAATTTCCTATCTCTTAAGCAATCATAAAATATTTGTGAGTTTTTTATCATCGCTTTTTTCTTCAATGCTTATTCTGTAAGGCATTGTTTTTATTGATAAAAAAATAGCTAACCTAGGCGCTATCAGAAATGCATTTCTCGGGACACTTCAATAATTCATTACTACCCATTGTTGAACATTGAAGGAGGGACTTGTATTAATTGTTTTCATTAAAGGAATTCAAATAGTATTGTTCATGAAAATTGATTCTCGGTAACGAAACATATTCATCATAACAAACTTTATTGAAGTCAATTTAATTTCTAAATTCTGGTACAACATATTTCTACATTCTAGATCAAATTTACATTATATGTACCTAGTCTCCATTGTAATAAAAGAAAACGTTTTCCATTTTCTGTTGTCAAAATCTGATCAACGTACACACTGGAGAGTACAAAATTTCCATTTCAAACTATAAATTGAAGAGGCAAGTGGAAGAAGGAGTTATGTTACAAACAAATATGAGTTTGTGAGAAAAATAGATTTTAGTAAAGTTAGCTGGCATTTTTCAATGAAAGCTAGTTTCATAATTTGATTTATGCAATTGTGAGGAATAGTTTCAGGTTGTTTTTTCATGATTTACCGCATTTTGCTATCATATCATTTTTTGATATACATATGATTCATGAGTACATAACCCCTTCTTCCAATTCCTGACATGTAGATAATGGGTACATAGTTCCTTCTTCCATTGCGTTCTTGATGTTTAGTGTAACATAGCCCCTTCTGCCACTGTGTATCTACTCAGATATGAAGAATAGAAACAAATCCTGACAGGGCAAGTTACATATGCACCTAACACCTTTTTCCATGACATAACCGAATATTTTCAGAAAATGTTACTTGACCCCTTCTTCCACTTGCCCCTTCATTTATGTATACTTCCCTGCCCTAAAACGATACCTACCACAAAAATATGAAGTATCCAATCGAAAATTCACCAATTTATGCTAGTGACAATAACCTTCAGATTCTTTGTATTTTCCGTACCAGGCGCGAAAACAAGAATGGTTTATTGTGTTTTTGAAAAGTGTTATTGATTCAAAGAGCATTGTAATGTAATGTATCGGACTTCTGCTGTATGGACAGGCTGCTTTTGATATATCTAGTTTCATCGTTGAATTTGTTGAAGTTGGTATGCATCGGCTTGTGTCCTAATTTGGAGTTTTTCGAGGTGCCTTTATATTGGAAAGTAGGTTCTGAGGATTCATGTGAGTTCAGTTCTCTTCAAAGAGGATTGAATTACATCTATACTAAGGTTAGGTATATTCAGTTCCTAGTCTTATATGGTATTATAGCTAGGTTGAAAAATATGGTTGAGATCGTTATTGAGAGATAAAAAAACGATTTTGACTAGGTTCTCCTTGAAGATTATAAAATCCTCTGTTTAATCCACTTTGAAAGACTTTTCATTGGCTCAAATTTCAAAAACTACAATGTGGCTCTTTTCCACAAGAATCAATCACGGATTCTCAATAATAAGGGTCACTTGAAACACTTGTACCGATTTTGCATTATTCAAAAATATACTGTGTTTGTGAAAATAAATCACATATATTTTTTTAAAAAGTGCTACTGTTTTTTTTTTAATTTTTTGAAGAACTAACAACGGATTGGGTAAAAAATATATAATTCTGCTCAAAAAATTAAGACACCTCGGAAGCGACCCACTTGTTGAATGTACTTTTCATATACCTACGTTAAAAAATATCATCAAGATGGATATACAGAGTGTTTTAGATTCAAATGTACATACGATACCTGTTAATAGAGGACACTCTGATGATTCCAAATCACCCCCCATTGATGTGTCTACCGTCTTTTATAAATGAGATACAGGGCGTTATCTTGATTTTGGCGAAATCTTCATCTGGTCATAACTATTCAACCACTTTGTATAATCTATCCTCACTTAGTATCAATATTCCACTTATATTACCCATCAAAACTAAATAAAAAGCGGGATCAGAATCCAGGTCCGTCTTGAGAAAAAACAGAAGACTTCTTTACTGTCAAAAAAACCCTCTGTATGGCAAAATTTTGTAGATCTATTTCGATATTTTGAAAGAGCGGGAAAAAATGAATAGAGTGACCCACTTTTAAATAGCGCGCATCCGATTTAACAGATGTTTTATTGATATTTTTTGAAATACTAAGCTTCATTTTGATGCATTTTTATTGAAATCTTCATTCAAAGTCCATTTTTTTTACATAAAGAGAGTCAAATTTATTTAACTTGACTCCAATGATGTTGAAATTTGAAAAATTGTTATTTTTTGTATTAAAATTAGATTTTGAATTACGAATTCAATAATAATGCCTCGAAATGGAGCTGAAATCTCCAAACATAATAATAAACCACCTGTCTGTAAAAAGTAGGTCACTCTATTCATTTTTTCCCGCTCTCTCCAAATATAGAAACAGATCCACACAATTTTGCCAAATACAGTGTTGTTTTCGAAATAAAAAAGTTTTCTGTTTTTCTTTAAGACGGACCTGGATTCTGATCTCGATCTTTATTTTGTTCGAATATTTCTACCAAGTATGAATAGATTATACAAAGTGGTTGAAAAATTATGACCAGATGAAGATTTTGCCAAAATCAAGATAACGTCCTGTATCCCAGTTATAAAATACGGTAGACACATCAATGGAGGGTGATTTGAAACCATTAAAGTGTCCTCTATCTGCAAGTATCGTATGTATTTTCAAATCTCAAACACCCTGTATAAAATAAAGATTTCACATTTTCGCATTATTTATGAAAGGTATTTTTACGTTTTCTTCACGTTCGAGATATTCAAATATTTTACGAAAAATTGTTTTTTCTGATGCTGCCGAAATAGGAATCTTCGGCCTCCTCTGAAGAAGATACCAGCGCTCATATGGCCCAGTCCACACGTTCTAATCAAAAAATTGATGAAAGCGATGACGATTTTAATAGTAATCAGTTTTCGGCAGAAACAACCAACTTATCGGTATTGTACTCTAGTTGTTGCTCTAGCTCAATCAAAGTAGCTTTTCAGTTGTACTGTGTCTGCCAAAACAGGTGCAACGTCGTATGGGGTTTCAGTTACTTCACACAAAAAAAAATAACTGAGAAAATCGAAGGGGAAAATTGAAATTCCTTTTGAATCCAAAGTGACAACCATACGCGCTAAAATAATTATTGTACTTTTTGTTTTGTCATTGAAAGTAATAATTTGATGATTGATTAAATAACCTCAACACATAATTTTTCATTCTTCTTCAAAAATAAGGAATAAAAAAAAATTGAAAAAATTAACTGGAGCATCTCAGTTTTGAGAGATTGCAGTTCTGACACAAAATGAAAAATTCAATCTGATTTTTTTATATTTGAGTTGCACAAGAATAAAAAATGATCAACAATCTGAAGGCGATTTCTCTCAAAATCTAGTAATAAAGAATCCCACATGTAGCATATTTTTGGTGGACACTAGTCAAATCACTTGAAAATTATTTTTGCACCCATCATTTCTTTCCACATTGCATTGGTTTAGATTATTTTCGCCCGTTTCAGGCACTCTGTAATGGACTTAATATTCTGTTTACTTGATTTTGCCTGCTTGTTTCATTTGCTTTAGCAAATGGCAATTTCGTCAAGGGCGATTTTTTTCAAAATCCTTGCTAGCAATTATCTCTCTGATTTTCCATTCGTGAATTATCTTGAGTACAAGATTTCAATCTTGATTATGCTTCGATTTGTGTTGCTTCAAAATCTGGAAATACATAAAGTAACTTCCAAATGAATCCAATCGCAACTCAAGGAAAAATGGACATATATATAATTTGGGGACGAATGACCTTGTAAAAGCAGTCCTCGAAAAAAGCAGAATGGGGAATTTGGATTCCTTGGAGTGAAAAAATTGAAGAGATAATCGCAGATGGAGAACTTGAGTCGACAACGATATACATATGATCAAAATACGTGATTCGCAAGCATTGCTTATTGAGAAAACGGTTCTCCAATAATTCATTTTGAACACCATACCTTTAAAGATAAAATGCAACAATTTTGATCATGTGTACGTGAGATGTGGTCTATCTAAAATATATTATATTGAAAACACGAAAATAGGTCAGGTTGTCGAAGTAATGGAAATCTTCAAAACTCTGAAACACTACCTATAAACTCCCAAGATTCATTTCTTTCTTACTTGGCCAATTGAGATAATATGTATCTTCAAATATTTCACATGTAGTATTTCGAAAACACGGCATATATGTAATGTCGTTTTTTTCCGAAGAATTTTGATAAGGTATAACGTTTCCTATTTTCTGAATTTTTCAGACCTATAACTAATAACTTTTAGATGGGCTACACTGTATTGATGTCTAAAATGGTGTTCAGCGTTTTTATTGTATTGAAACTTTTTCTAATAAGGCATATGTCGTCTCAGTGTGATGTTCCTCCCTTTATGATATTTTATAATAATTTGACTATTCATTGCAGAATCCTACACGACAGTCAATACAGAGTCAAAAAATCAATAATGGTAAGTTATTTTTTCCTAGGATAGAACAATAATAGTTTATAGTTTTGATAATGTTATTCTAAGAACATAAACTGTTTCATTGTTCTTACTGATTAATTTTTTGGTTCATAAAAATGTATGCAGGTATTCAGATTATCTTCGAATAATTGTTTCCAAGTGTCCTTATGCAAAATAAAATGAGTCAAATTATTTTAATATTTCATTTCATGTATACTAACAGGGTGACCTAGGAACTGTGAATAATAAATAAACAAATTCACGTGATTTATCTATATAGCATGTCAGAAATATTTATAGACATATTCACATGAAAAATCTCATTTCCGGTTCAACCTGAAAAGTTATACTTACTTTTGTCTTTCAAACGACACCCTGTATAACTTTTGGAAATTTGTGTTCTAGATCAAATTCCCTATTCATCTATGTCAAAGACATTCTAATCGATCTATTAATAACTACATTTATTGAGTATTTCAGACGTGAAAAGCACATAACAGTTTTTAATTGATATGGTGGACATTTTTTTTGAGTGAGTTATACAGGGTGTCCCTGAAAGGTATGAAGAAGATCACATATACCTGAGGTTAATATAAGCCGATTTGAAGCAACTTACCTCAGTCCGAAATTGCTCCGTTTCGGAGATACAGGGTGGTGAAGATAAAAAATAAAAATCGATAAGTACACTCCAAGAGAGTATTTTGAAAAATCAATTTTTGCACTGCTAATTCACTGGCCAAATTACATCCAAGAAGATAACAGCGAACATTTTTCATTCAAAATAATTTTAATATTCCGGTGCTGCATCGAACATTATAAAAACGAAATATCTCAAAATCGGCTTACTTTGGCGGATTATCACTAGTCTCTTTTTTCCTTAAAAATGTTCAGAAAATTATTGCCCCAAAGAAAAAAGTAGGAAACTACACTGAGAAAAAAGTTATGGCCATTCTAAACCATAAGAAGTGGATTGATAGACTTCTGAGAAATTATATTTTCATTCGTTAAACTTCACCACCTTGTATCTTGGAAACGGAGCAATTTTGTGCTGAGATTTTGTACAGACCTTTCAGGGACACCCTGTAGAAATGATTAAGCATTTATTTTTGGTGAGAGATATTCTTGTTGCGGAGGAAACCGAGAGATTCTTGAAATGCACAACTTTTTCTTTAGAATGACACCACGTACATTCTTGTCATAAATGTTTTCTGTCGGGTATCCTATTCATCCATGCCAAAAAATTCAGAATCAACCTGAATTCAGAATTTATTGTTGTACCAGGTGATTCAATAAGGGTGAAAAGCCACTGTATCTCAGAAACTAATAGTTTATAAAGCACGCCCCCCCAAGCAAGGACGGTAAAAGCCAGAATGGCTCGAATGGTTTTTTTCATTTTATGCACCAAACCTTCCTTTCTTGAACAAGACCGTGTTAGAAAAGTTTTTAGTTCTTGAGGTACAGTATCTCGTCACCCTTATTGAATATCACCCGGTACTCTACTCCTGATGTCAAATATTTCACAGCCACATAATTTCTTGCTGAAATTGACTTAACAAAACAAACAAATTCATAGCTAGTTCGATGAAATGCCCAACATATTAATCATTGGAAACTGCTGTTATGCTTCTCACATCTGGAGTATTGATTTATGAACTTTTATAATTTTCATGGCGTGGGTGTATAGTGGCAATCCGATGAAGACTATAAAAAAGTTACAGGGGTCATAACAACTAAAGTTGGTGTCACTTCCAATTCATCATGTGAATATTTTTAAAGGTATAATTTCCCAAATACATGATGAGAATTTGGTTATTCGAATCTATAAACTTGTAAAGTTACAGGAGGTTATCTATAGCTTCTAGATCACCCAGTATACAATAGCTTAAGAAGTTCTTTCTTTATGTGTTAGGCATATGGTTTAGGCGCTTCTCTTTGCATTTATATTTATTGCTTCTGGAGCTGGGTATTCTGCATTATTATGAATGCCTATGATTTGAATCTTGCAGGGGTATCAAGGTCCGCTCATCAGTCGCGATTGACAGTCATTCCAAATAACGGACTAACATTGACTACAAATGACTCGATTATGTCAAAAGAATCTAATTTATCGACGAATAGAGAGAGAGCAGCAGCTGCAGCAGCAGTAGTAGCGGTTAGTGTTTGATCCGAATTTTCAGCTATGCATTTTCTGAATAACCGTTTTCAGAACTCGCGAAGAAGTAATGTGGTGAAGGAAGTAGAGAAACTAAAGAAAAATAGAGAGGAACGACGACAGAGGCAAGCAGAGGAAAAGGCTGAGAAAGAAGCGTTCCTTCAAATGGCTCCTGGTAATCCACATTGGGAGCTGCTAAACATGATAATGTTAGTATCAACGACAAACCCAAAATACGTTGAAAGATCAGTGATTTTTTTGTTATTGAGTCTTCTTCAATCCATTTTCTAGGGAATATCGGCGTGGTTTAGATATTAAACCGCTGTCCGAAAACGATGCTATCGAAGACCACCTGATCACAGTGTGTGTGAGGAAAAGACCTCTCAACAAGAAGGAAGTAGCCAGAAAGGAAGTAGATGTGATATCAATCCCCAGTAAAAACCAATTAATCGTACATGAACCAAAAAACAAAGTCGATCTAACGAGATATTTAGAGAATCAACTGTTCCGATTCGATTATGCTTTCGACGAAACATGTTCAAACGAACTAGTCTACAGGTAGAAACATATGTCTGCTCCTTGTCAGCTACATAGGGAGTATATCTGATTACTTGTATCTAAGAGTTAACGTTTCGGATTCCACAAATACGATTATCTTCTCCATTTTATAGTCCAGAATACAATTGACTGGGTCCTAAAGTATTAAAATCGGATATACAGGGTGTTTAATCGATTATGCTAATATTTTCCTTAGGATTATGTAACCAGATTTATTAGCCCTCTTATAGCTGATGAGGATATACAGTGACACTGTTAAAGTTTCCGTTTTCCATTTTTTAAAATCATTAAGTTAACGAAAATTTGATATTTTTCCATCGATCGGCAATACAAAAAATAGTTGAATGATATGTACATGATATAAAGAGATTTCTCCTATTCAGAAATTTTTCTTATTTGATATCATTAATTCAATACTAATATGCTGAAAATGCTATGCATACTTGATGCAGTCAGCATTTTTATTCTGATGTTTGATTTTCCAGAGAAATTATCATATTTCCATGAAAGTCAATTCTGTTTCTCTCTTAGCTCAAGAGCAACTTGATGAATGATTGATTTTTAAGTGGCATTAGCCAGAATAGTAGTTGTCTTTCTCCCGTCATTGTTCATTTTTCGAACATTTGTGAGAATGATTTTGAGGTTTGCTCCTCATTAACATTTCATATCCCACTTTGAACATTTTGGCTATTTCATAATTGATTTTCAAGTATTTATTTGTTGGGAGAATAATTGATTAAAATTGAATTCACGCGACGAAGATTCAGAAGTAATATTTAATAAAGTGAAATAAGAGCCACTTTGCATCAAGTATGAATTGAAGTAGAAGCTATCCACGAGGTTCAAATTTGAGTCAACTGAATAATTTTAAAGAAATTTTATAATTCGAGATTCAATCAGACTATTTGTAGGTACACTGCACAACCGTTGATAAAAACCATATTCGAAGGTGGTTTCGCCACTTGTTTCGCCTACGGCCAGACCGGATCAGGGAAAACGCACACCATGGGCGGCGATTTCAACGGCAAAGTCCAAGATTGCCAGAAGGGCATTTACGCGATGGCAGCCAGCGACGTATTCAGATTGGCGAACTCGCCGAAATATCGAAACATGAACCTTGTCATATCCTCCAGCTTCTTCGAAATCTATTCTGGCAAAGTGTTCGATCTCTTGAACAATAAGGCCAAGTTGAGGATATTGGAAGATGGGAAACAGCAAGTGCAAGTTGTGGGCCTCACGGAAATTGTCGTCAACAACACCGAGGAGGTTCTGAAGCTTATCCAGAAGGGTAACCAGGCCAGGACGTCCGGACAGACGTTCGCCAATTCGAATTCTTCAAGGTCGCACGCCGTTTTCCAAATCGTCCTGAGGACGGATAACAATATGTCGAAGGTCTTTGGGAAGTTTTCCCTTATAGATTTGGCGGGCAATGAGCGGGGGGCGGACACTTCGTCAGCGAACAGGCAAACCAGTAAGTGTATAGGGTGAGAGGTCAGAGATAGTATGACTATTATTGTGCATATTTTCTTTTTGAAACATTTGATGAGATAACGATTTCAAATTCGGTACAGTGGCTGGTAGACTCGCATATTTGTCATGTGGAAACATCAATGATCTCCTAGATAGTGCCTAGAGAGATATCAATTGACAACATAATAGTGAGACGCAAAGTGCAATGAAATTAGCTGATGGTTGGGTACAATGTGATATTGCATGTTATTCTCTTGCGATTTGTATTTTGAATGTGGCTCATGTGCCTCAAAGCAACTGAAATGTATCAATCCATAAGTGTGTTAGAGCAAGAAAACTCAGTCTTTTGTTTTGATTTGACTAACAATAAATAATTGACACGTTGAAATTTCAAATCGAGCATTTATCGCACCTAAAGAAAGATGTAGAGAACCAACCAATGAATTCGACAAAGGAGAGAGAGGCAACGAGCAGCTTCCAGCAGTGTGAGAGAGAGAATGGTTTCTATAGCTAGATATTTTGAATGATCTCCCAAAAACAACGTATTCGATGTTGTTTTTCTTTTTTCTAGGAATGGAGGGCGCCGAGATCAATAAGTCCCTGCTCGCGCTCAAAGAGTGCATCCGCGCGTTGGGACGCAAGGGCGCGCACCTGCCGTTCAGAGTGAGCAAGCTGACGCAGGTGCTGCGCGACTCGTTCGTCGGCACGACGTCGCGCACGTGCATGATAGCGATGATCTCGCCGGGCGTCGGCTCGTGCGAGCACAGCCTTAACACGCTCAGGTACGCGGACAGGGTGAAGGAGTTGGGCGGCGGCGATCTGCAGACGACGGCGGGCTCGGAGAACGACGAGGCGGGGGACCTGATGCAGCTGAGGTCGTTGAATGTGAGTGATAGGTTGCGTTTTGTTTATCCGATTCCGCCACCGGAAGGACTTAACCCTTCAACGCCCAAAGATTTTTATCAAGATATATGTTGAAAAGGAACATTCTCAGATATATTTATGAACACAAAAAAATGGATATATACATAAAGAAATACATTGAGAATTTGCATTCTCCATGTGATGAAAATATCAATTCTTTCACGGTTTATTCAACAGAAAACAACTACTTCCCTGGCTATATGCCACGACGAATATTGAATTACATCTATTGAACACACACGATGAGAATTTGAAAACAAAATCTTCTGAAGTAGAGAATTTGCATTCTCCTTCATATGAAGATATGCATATAATATAATTCTGAATATTCCACAGAAAACAACTACTTTCCTGGCTATTTGCCACGTCGAACATTGAATTATATCTGTTGAATATCCAAAAAGAGAGCAGGGCGAGTCTTACCTATTGGGACATAGGCTGAGGGCGGATTGTTTGCACCAAAATATAACGGTATGACCCAATATGCCTTGATAAAATATTGCTATGGAAAAAGATACAGGCCGTTTCAATCGAAAAAGTATTCACTATAAACTCGCAACAAAATTCATTAATTAACAAGAAATTCAATTCACCAGTAACAATTATCTGACAGTCCAAAACACACTCTTCATAAATGGAATATTATTTGAAATCCCTTCCGAGACTTTGAACTGTTCAATTGCGTTTTTTTCGAAAACGGATGAAAATATCGTTTTCAAACAAGTGTACCAATATTCCGTAGAAATGATGGTTACGTCATATTTTCTAATCAGAATTACTAAAAAGTTTCGTCAAAAAAAGTTATCAGTCGATTTCATCATCAGGAATAATTCATGTGGCGCCTCCTCAAACAAACTGTAGAATGGAACATAAAATAATATTCCCTGTATAAAATTTTTTCTCTGTGCCGATTTTGATTACAATTGATAAATATACTGTGAAATGTATAGCAAAAAACGAAAAAAAAAAATTCAACTTTAACGCACTGTATCTTTTTCTACAGCGATATTTTATTGAGGCATATTCGGTCCTATCGTCAAATTTTGGTCCAAAGAATCCGCCGTTAGCCTATGTCCCAATAGTTATGACTCACCCTGTAGATTGTGGATCCATTTTGATGTATATTTAGAAAAAACAATGGTAAACTGTTTTACCAGCGGACCTTTACGACTCACTAAGACTTGTTATCAGGGTTGGCAGGAATTAATTCATATGAATTAAGTCAGTGATTTAAATCGTGAATTAATTCAAATGACTTTTTTCAAATAAGTCGTGAATTAATTCAAAATTCATCGAATGGGAACAAATCGCATTATTACCTTCAATTTAAACTAGTTTAAAATGAAATAGTCCATGGCATCTGACAACTGACAACCGTGAAGCACCACACGCGGAAAACAACATTTTCTAAGAGCCGCTTTACAGTTTACAATATTTCATTGCATGCAATTGATTGCTCCAATTCATATTTCCGGCAAAAATAATATGTAGGCTTTTCAACACTGAATCGGAATTACCGGCTTGCAATGTATTTTTGTCATAGATTCTGTGTATTACTTCTCACCGAGTTTTGAGTTGGATCAAGAGTTGGGTAGAAGAAACCATGAGAAAGGCAAGAAAAGTAAGATCCAATGTGTATCTAATGATGCGTGAAATTCCGAAAATCTAACATGTGACCACTAGAATTGTGTTCTGTTAGGTTCACTTGGCAACCTCGCACATAATTTGTCTCTCTCTGTGTGTCTACGCTACGAGACGACTACGAGGGTGGTATTTTACGAGACTACGGGTTGTTGTGGTATTGCTGTCTAGAGTCGACCATTAAACATTTCTAAGAAGAATGTTATCTTATAATTAGACATGGTGACAGCGGTAATACAAATTACCACAATATAAATAAATATGTCCGGACTCATTTCTTGCAATGCATCGAAAAATTGTTTAATTTAATAACTGTAAAGCGCCTCTATAATGAAGATTGTGAATGAGTAATCCAAGTTGCATAAACATCATTTTTCATTCAATCAATAGTCTCAGTTCATATTGCAAAAATGGCATATTTTAAGTATTTATTGTCATGCTTTGTTATTTTCAACGGAAATAAAACTTAGTTTTTGCGATGTTCTTGTATTTTGTTCAAGTGAATAGAATTTGATTTGTTCTCAAATGAATTAATTCAAAAAAGTCCGAATTAATTCAAAAAGTCAGACTTTTTTATAAAACTCATGACTTATTCCAACCCTGCTTGTGATGCTTACTGGTATGAACGTCATACCAGTATGTAGAAGTCGGAAATTAACAATAAAAACATTATTTTCATTTAGAAATAATTATGAAAATATAGTATTCATGTATGATACAGTACAAAACATTCAATACAGAAAGGCAGCTTGACATATTTTTTGCACTGAACACTACTTCTCTTCTGTTTACAGACTTGGTACATTCTGTTAAACGGGTATTTCGCACTCAAACACACTTCCAACAATTCTTCATTGCATCCAACTTTAATCAATCACCGAGCAATACTGACTATTTTATTCATCGTACACCCTGCCTCCGAGTCATCGTTATATCATACATTCCAATGAATCACTAACCTAACGTACCTATCTCATATCATTAAATATTACAGATCCTTAAGGGGGCTAATCTATTAAGAGGGATACAATTCTTTGTACCTGCCAGATGTTGTTTTTTCGGAAAGGTGACCTTTTGCATGGAAATGATTTAGATATTAGAATAAATGTAATGTTACCAAGGGAATGCACTGAATGATATTGATCGATTTGATGAAACCGGAAAGAAAACTAATGAATAAATTTCGTATTTCGACCAGTACTTCCGAGCGCATGAACATAATGGCTAGTACATTCAATAGTATACGGTTTGACATATATGAAAAAACAGGAATGAATTCATGAGCATTAGTCTCAAATCGGTTTTGTTATCATTTTTTAGAAATGGGATGTATAAAACAAAAACTCGTTTTCCGTAATATTTTCAGCCTATTAACAATCCAGAACGAATAGGAAACAGTGATTTCTCACTATCATAAACTGAGTTTTTATAATATTTATTGTGAAATAATCTGTCAGTAGACATACAAAGGGAGCAAGGCATCACTAGTTCACATTTTCGCCACCCGGTTGGATGTGCAGGATGAGCGCCAAAAATCATCCACTCCAATCTTTCCTAAAATGCAGTTATTGTATAAGAAGGACAAACCAATATTGGTTATCTGTACGCTCCTAAGGAAAAACTGTTGTGTTAGTGAGATTTATTTTTGATGATTTTGTGAAAATATTTTTTGTGATATATTTTTACAAAAAATTGACATCACATTTTTTCAGGAAAACGATATAACTCCTGAAATGCTCAATCTGCATCAATTCATATCTGAATTAGAAATAGCCGAAGAAAATATGCTTGATAAACAGAAGCAGATCATAGAAGAAATGCAGATTGCCCAGCAGAAAGCCGTTGAACTTTTACGAATATCCGAAACTGTGGATTATGACCAAGAAGGTGAGTTCTGCCTAATCTGATTTCATTTATGAAATTATATGTTCTTACAGTGATTTATTTATTTGTTTCCTCTAATTCTTAATCAGTGGCGGATCCAGGCGATGTTTAAGAGGGGAGTTAGACCCTGGGTCCGCTCCTGCCAAACACCGAGTCGTTTCAACGTTTCAATCATAATATCCAAAATCTACTTCTTTTATCTCTTGGAGCGCACGAAATAAAATTCGTATAATATTAGTTGAACATCGTGTGAACCTAGGAGAGCGAGAGGAAGTAGGTGTTGAAATTTTTCACTTTTGGAGATTATAAGTTCTTGAGAATACTTCCCCATTGGCAAATAATTCCAAAGCTTTGCCGTTCTATTATAGAATAACGAAATTATGGATTTCATCAAAGATTTTACGTTAACGGGTTAGCCTTTTAACGATTCTGAACCGATTTTGATTCCCTTTTTTTCAATACAAAACTATTTTCTCTCTTGTTGATTTTGACAAATGTCAAATGCCAGTGACAAGTTGATTTTCATGGCTACTGGGTGATTCTTAGTAAATACCTAATGAATAATAAGTTGACGATTTTTTTTTTAAATCTCACTCATCAATACACTAGTTGGTCAAATGAGTATTACCAAGGTGTATGTCATTTCTGCTATTTGCCCTGAATATTCAATGCTGTCGGTTATTGAATTATGATCGGTTTTCCTAAATTTTTTATGTTGGTTCAATATAAGAAAGATGAACGACCTTTATACTTTTCTTCACAGCTTACTGCAGAAGTTGGGAAGAGTTGATAGACAATTCCCTGGCATTTTTAGTGCATGCTAAAGACATTGTCGAAGATTACAAGGCAAAGCTGGCAGCTGAGGAACAACTAAGTCGCAAAACCACAAAACGAAAGTAATTATTTAGATGATTATATTATGAATCTTGTATTTGTGTTAGTGATTATGTCATTGATTCATTGCCGGTGCGGATATTCTGATGAGTTTCTACAGCGTGTCCACGTTAAGAACTTAATGCCCCTGGTGAAATCTCTCTTTATTGATTTGATAACTTTGTATTTAGATTGGTATGCAGAGCAACCAGTCGTCAATTTCCTTTTTGGCTGTTATCAAGATTTGAAAAGTGATATTATGGATTTTTTTATAGAAACTATCAAAGGATTCTCATCTGAAACATACCCGTAAGTGCCGATTTCCTGGTATGTTTCAACTGATCCTAAATTTATTAGTTCAATTCTGTGCAAAAGTACCTAGTAATTTTTTGAATTTGGGTTCATGAAAGTGGTCATATTTGGCCCTGATTACCTGATTACCTAGGTAAAAAATCGATACAAAATGAAGATTTCATTGGAGTGGCAAGTTCTTGAGAGGGTACACTGTATCTAACGAAAGTTTTTTCATTCTGATTGGTTTCATAGCTGGGCTAATGAAGATATAGTTGTTCTGATGTTTGAACAAAGACCCATTTTTGGATTCATCAGAATATCGCCGCTGACCGATCACTCATGTATACTAAACATTTTTTAATGAGTTTTGTTATTTATTACTTTTTATACTTGCAATTATTAATTTATTCAGGCCTCCGAGGATAGGTGTGATGGCCGTAACATTACGCTTTTTAAAAACTAACGGAATGACATTCCCTCTGAATGGAAACATCGTGTCGGTTGCCCGCATTTTCTTCTTTTAAGTGGATCATATTTTAACCTCGAAAAAGTCGACATTAGGCTGTGCTATTCTTTACAACAAATGCAGGCAATACTTTCGTTGCGAAAACGATCTGAAATTATTTACCGTTAATTTGAAAGTGGACGATGGAGGAGACAAAACTCATATTATTTCACTCTCATACATCAAGACCGATTTATGTGTAGCTACTTTCAAATAAGGACCTTAACTGTCCAACTTTGAAGGGTACTATTCGGTGTGAAGCATTTTTTTGACTTTTCCATATTGCTTGAGCTACAGAGGAATTCGTCTTGAGTGGATTTAGTATGAGGAAAATGGAAACGGCTGTTCAAAAAATGTTATGGCTAGATATAGTCTGAGTAAGTCTTCAGTAGCGGAATTTTCTGTAAGACATGTATGACTGAGTTGTTTGTTGAACAGCACTGTATGTACGTTATTTTGGAGCTTTACGTGAACTCTCCGAGATCAAATTGGATGAATACTTGGTGCATATGAGGCCTTCTTTTAAGATTGTTTGTGATGTGTATATTATTTTTAATTACAAAACTGGTTTCTTTTTTTTTAGAGTATGTTCCTGTTTATAAAAATGTGTTCCTAAAAAAAGATGGAGCCTATTTATTTTGAATGAAAGATATTCTTTCGAATTCGTAACTCCAGAATTATTATATTTTGTGATTGATGTTTATACCAACCTTTTTTAGGAACATGTGTGATGCTTTACCAGCGTTTTAAAGCGCTAACCTTTACCATTCTTATATCAACCTTTATTATTATGCTATAAAATATATTTAAAAATTCAAAGTTCGATAAAACTAAAGTTTGTACTCAAGTGTGAAATGCATCCGTCTTAAATTTGCAACATGTTTATATAACAGGCTTGAATCAGAGTTCATTATAATAACTGAAGTAAAGAACAGCATTGTTATTTTCACATCACATTTCCAGAACATATTAGTTGAATTTAAAATTTAGTGTCTTCACAGATTGTGCAGTATTGATTCCTTGGTATTCCAATTGCTCAAAATTCTTCACTTTACTTTTTCAGAAGGTTTTGTCCTGACGGCTCATTATCCTGATTATAGAGCCAGTTGGTTTCCACTTTTCAAAAGTGCATCATACCAATGGATGAAAAATCAGCTTGTTGTAGATTTAATTTTTGTTAGATATGGAAAATGCCAAATAAATATATCATGAATAAATTGGCATCTTTCTCCCAACCTTCAGTTATTGAAATTGAGAAAGAACAATGACTTTCTCGATGTGTGAAAATTTAACAGAGGAAAATATTTTCGATTTTTCCCAATTTCTGTGATAAACCTCACAGATTTATCGATTTGTACGGATTCGTTCCGTTTGATTTTTTTTTGAAATGTTTTTAAATTTTATTTGATAATCTCAACGCATGGACCAAAAATTGATTCGAAAAACACTACAATCGCAGTATCTCCCTCATGGATGATTATATATTTTGAACTATTCTCGAATTTTCACCAATGATCTGTTGAGAAAATTCAACAAATGGGAATGGGATAATATACATAAGAGAATTTGCAAACGTGCACTAAGTGTTTTAATAAATTACTAAAAACCTTACAAATTTAAGTAACATATCACAATAGGATTTCAATCCTGAAACTTTGGTGTTCACATTACCCCTACTTGAATTGCTGATTCAAATTATTCGAAAATGATGATAGATGATAGAATATGACGAAATTTTTCTATGACTATTTAATACTGAAGCTTTTATATTATACAAGGTGTCCTAATTTTTTATTTGAAAAACCATGAATCCTTCATTACCTAGAATTTCATTAGATTAGTCTACTTATTTTAACATCTTTCAATTAGGAAACAGTTTTTACACTAGTTATGATATCCATAAATTATAATTTTCAAGTCAATATATATCATGTCCAATACCAACTTATCTTTCATTAGGCTGATGTGAACACATTATGTTTTAACGAAACGTCGCCAAAAACCGTCAACAACTGTTTCATGGATTTGTACCAAAATAAAACATGTAAGTCTCTTGTTGAAAAAATTGAAATTTTCCTGATGAAAAAAGCAAAGCAGACTCTTTTGCTGAAGTACGAAACCGATTAATACCTAGAATAAATAACTAAAGTCATGGTTTTTGCCAGTAAATTGCAGGACCTATTGGGAAATATTGCTGCTGTACTTCACAGCGGTAGGCCTGTATGTTCTTGCCTCGGTGTTTGAACTTCCTATGATTGGGGCGTGGAAGTAGGGTGTAGCCGAAAATCTGTGCCCGGCTATGTCTATTTCATATTTGGCGTCTTTCGAGAGAACATACTCAGCATTGACAATTTTGTCCTCTGATGATTTGGGTCTCCTTATGTAACCGAGGCAGATCATTTTTTCAGCTGCAAATCCATATCTACGAAAAAAATTATCATTTCAGACGTTTAACAATGGTATCCACGAAAATGGACCTTTCTTTAACCCATTTGTTTTTACGGTTATCATAAAATAATTAACGCAAAAGTTGGTTGGAACTTCTTGAATGTGTAATTCCTATCGTTTTTCAATGTACACTTTCTTGTTTTTGCGGAATTTTGATTGCACGAATCCGTTTTGCTCAAGCATATATATTGGCGATTCGTATAGACCAATCAGAACAAGCCAAAGAGCGCCTGCGTGTTGAGAAACATCTAGAGACAGGGTGTAACAAATAATCCATGTGCGGGCAACTGCGGAGACTAGCGACGACGAACGATAACCGAATCATGTTGCCATTCATATGCCCTATTTATAACGATTTGGCAAACAATCTATACTTATTGTGAATTTTTTTACACTGAGTGATCAGAAAAATCTGAATACTTACTACTTCAAGGCCTGTTCATCGAAAAAATATCTTTTTGGACACATTAATATAGGAATTTTCATCTCTTGATTCAAGTTTTTTTTTTCTAATTTCTCTCAAAATTGAATCACTGTTTGAATTGGATTATCATTATAATACTCCATAGTATCTTACCCTGCAGATGTCACTGTTCCTACAAATTCGTTATTCCTATACAGAGGTTCTCCTCCCCATGGCCAAATATCAACATCTGGATCAATATCGTTCAGATGCAAAAGTAGTAATTGCTTTGTTATCCCTTCATCTTTCTGCTTTTGTAATGCAGATTTACCAATGAAATTTTCTTTCTAAAAAAATAATTTCCATATAATCGACTATTATGGGCACCCCGAACTTTTGAATTCGGAAATAGGTATCCGGAATGTAAATTCCTGTTTCTTTTAACAGAACGTTATGATTATCTTCTATTATCGTGAATAATGTGAATTCAACACAATATAAATTATATATTCCATATTTGATTCAGACGAATATAGGTGAAAAATATCTTAGATATGAAACACTAGGTACCTTGTCAAGTCTAACGTTGTAACTGTTTCCCGATTCAAAAGGGGTCGTGAAGCTATTGAGTTCTTCAGCCCAAAACGGAATGAATCTTTCAATTCTCATGAACCTTTGTGTCATAGTTCCCACATCTCGAACGCCATAGTCTCTTCCAACCTGAGAATAATAAAAAAAAAAAACTAGAACAATTAGTAAGGAGGACGCGCACTGATTCGACTCGGGACGGTCGGCCCGGCAGCTTATACCACGCACTGAATCGGCACATTTGGTATGTCTTCAGCAGCCGTCTAGTTAAATACATTCATACATACATGTACATAGTTTGTCTATGGTACAAACCAATTTGAACACAAGTGAAAATTAGTTCATCTGAATCTTAGAAAGATATTTTGATTGCCTTAGCATAGCAACTTTGAACTTGCAGCTTCGTTCATACACTTCTTTGGCTCAAAAACCGTACAATCACTGAGAGCTATCGGCAGTTTTTGCCCCATCTATCATTCTCTGCCGATTCCGAGACGATCTAAGCCGACCGTACACATTCAGTGCGCGGCGATGAATGCATAGCAAAACGTGCCGACCGTGCCGAGTCGAGTCGATTCAGTGCCCGTAGTCCTTTACAAAAGTATGGGCTGATTTTACCCTCATAAGTTTGTAATACACATGTAGAGCGTACTCGGACGGCACGTAAAGGCAGTACCCTGGTTCCCCTGTATGTGTGAAAGACATTACTATGACATCCGAGGCATATCCCACATTGAACTTCTTGTATGAGAATGGGGCAAACTTCATGTCATTGTTCGATAATTCGCTGAGTAAGGCACTAGCCTTGGGACCAACAACATTTATGACTGTGTACATCGAGGTAACATCGTTGAGATCTATAGTTGAGTTCGCGGGTAAGTTTCGAGACACCCAGTCGAATATTCTGGTTTGTTGACTAGTTGGGGATACCATGAAAAAGCTGCAACAACATTTTTCTTTTTATCTCGCGAACGGTAGATGATACGACGTTGATTAAATTAGACAAAAGTTGGTTAGGCCAATAAAATGATGTCTAGTAATAGGCAAAATAGGAAATAATGATAATAATAGTTTTCAAGTTTGCTCTGATTGATTGTGTTATTTTTCAACAACGTCTCCTGATATTTGAGATTTATAGGCATCGTTTTTTTGGCTCCTAAAATTAGACAACTGTTGTGGAAGTTTCTTGGAAAATGAAAATACTCATCATTCAAATTAAGAAGTTCGGCTTTGAAATGGTTGATTGATATTCCGTTGATTTTCCAAGGTGGCTAACCCGTTAACTTATTTTATTGAATGTAGTAAAAGTAAATTTGGGGGTTATGAATTATTGAAGTTCAATTAACATTTTTTGACGTATCCACTTGTCTTGCCATACTTCCGGTTTGACAGGAAAATGCCCCAACGTTTGATTTTTTTAATGGTTAGGTTGGGGCTTGTAAGGAATTCAACGATACCGGGTTTGATAGGGTTATTTCTAACCATTATGAAGATATTGAATATTTCCACACAGTTTGGAAACAATATCTCATGACCATGTGGATAGTTATGTGTGAAGGGCCAGTCAAAATACAAATATAAAAAATCGCTCTCTTTGACGAAACACTACCGCGCGCAGATTCGAAAAATTCGTGAAAAAATATTCCAGAAAAGTTTTTGGATGACCAAAATATATTGAGAATTATGAAGATAAAGGGGAGTGACACATTCAAGTAGGACACCCTGTACAAACTGTGTCATTTTTTCGTTGAAAATAGGATAGAAATAGAATAATACACCTCTAAGTATATAATGCAATAATTATATAAATATACAAAATTACTAATATGCAAATGATGATGAACGAATTTTGAATATTGATCAAGTCAAATATGAATGCATTTCAAATTGCCTGATTTTATTGCATACTCACCAGTTATCATGTTTCCTAACCAACATGCAATCATTTTCATAACCTCCTCTTTCATTCTGCATCCCCGTGTGAACAATGCCTCCTACAGGGATGTCAATATCATTTGAACACAATTTCTGAAGGTATCTCACGACTTCTGAACCTCCCGACTGAAAAATGATAATGATTTTTTATCAATAATCTTCATTTTTTGGGCCAACTCCATTTATATAATATGGAAGAGTGGTGATATCCTACTATTCACCAAATAATCTGGAGAAACATTAAACATTAAGCAATTTTGAAATAATAGCTACCTGAAAATATTTTCTCAAATTTTGACATTTGTGACATACCTTCAATTCAATTTTGGAAAATGATGACATATCTATTATACCAACTCCTTCTCTACAAGCTAAATATTCCTCTTTCATGAAATCAAAAAACTTTGGCTTGAAGAAGGTACCAGGAGGCATTTCTGGCTTCTTATCACCTTCTACAGAAAAAAGTTGAATAGGTTTGGAGCTTTCTTAATTTCTAAAACTCACTTTTGTAAGTAGAATCAAAGTACAAAGCTCTTTCATATGCCATTTTGATGCCAAATACTGCTCCTTTTGTTTCTAATACACTGTATAAGGGTGAACAACGTAGTTTTCTAGCATATTTGTATTCACATTGAAAGGGATATAATACTGAATAATGCCTAGAATACACAATTTCAATTCATTTAGACATGCCTTGATGCAAATAACTACCTTCCCACAACTTCTTTTGTCCTTTGTTGCAAATATGGTCTACTATTGTGTACATTCAAAAATCTTTGGACATTGAAAGGTAACAAATCCTGTTTTGGCTTCCCTTCTATTATCCAGTCTGCCACTGCCTTACCTATTCCACCAGCCCCCTTGAAAATGCCCATCATTAGTTCTATCCATAGATATCCAAGTATAATATGTCACCTGTAATGAATTGCCATTCATTCCACAGGCAACATAATAGTTTTTAACTTCAGAGCATTCACCCAGTATCCAGCGGCCGTCAGGTGTAAAATTATCTGGTGAATTTGTCCAGTCAGGGTTAGTACATGTTTTCAGCATTGGTATTCTATGTACCCCTTTTTCCCACAGAGGTCCTGAAATAATTATTGGAATCCATCTGACAACTGGAATTCACATTAAGGGTGTATACTTACTGAAATGATTAGTATCTTTCACAACATGCCTGGTCCAATCTCTGGGCACTTTACTATCTTCATATGCTGGTTTTGCCTCAAGTTCAAACCATCCTACCATGAATCCATCTTCATATTGCCTTGCATAAGTATGTGCATCATAATCTCTCACAATAGGTATAGTATCATCAATACCTAATGAAAAGTCTGATAGGTTATAATTATCTTCAAAGTATATTCAAAGATTCAAACCACACCTTGAACTAAGCGCCCAGTAGTAGCATAAAAGTGTTGTGCAGGATAAGCTGGAATATTAACTTGGGGATTGCATTGTAAACCCAATTCTCTTGCCCACATCCCTGCACAGTTCACAAAATAATCACAGAAAATATTTCCCTGATCAGTCTCCACAGCATAGACAGTTTTATTTTTGGTCAAAATTCTATTAACAGCTGTGTTTTCTAAGTACTTAGCTCCTCCTTGTTGTGCCAAAGTGGCAAGAACCTCACAGATTAATTTGGGATTAATAACTGCATCTTCAGGTACCCAAACAGCACCTTCCAAATCATCAGTTCTAATATATGGATGGAGATCCTGTAACTTCTGCCCACTAACAAGTTCACAGTATAATCCTGTAGGAATATTGTATGCCATTCTTCTCCTGAGTGCTATGAGGCGATCTTTTGTTTGAGCTAAATTGATACTTCCACATTGTTTCAGTTGTAAATCATATCCCTTTTGCTGCAATTCGTGGTATAATTTGATGCTATACCATATCAAATTTCTATGTGCAGTTGGTTTCAATAAGCCCAGGGTTCCTGAACCAAATGTTGATGTACCACTGCCAATTTTGTTCTGTTCCAAAACAACTATGTCATTCCATCCATTTTGTACAAGGTGGTAAGCTACAGAATTAGCTACTACCCCTGCTCCTGCAATAACTATTTGGGCTTGTGTGGGCAGACTAGGAGAGTATGAAGGGTTTGTTGAGAGATGAGCCAGATATCTTGCATTGTGTATTGCAACCTTACTAGGAAACTTCCCAAACATTTCAAAATTGTGTTCACTTACAAATGTATGAGAGCTGTGAATTAGCAATATTCATATTTCCTCTGCTGACAATCTCACATAGTTTGTTTATTTTGATTTTCCTAGTTTAATTTTAACCTAATAATTGAATGTCAAATTTGTTCTCGTTTTGAAAATAAACAGTGAGCAGCATTTTCATGTTCTGTGGAACTGTGCATGCTTCCGATGGTTTCGGATTCGGACTCCTTATTTTTTAACGAGAACAAACTTATTTTGTGACGAGAGCCTAAAGGTTTCGAACCATTCCCATACCCCATTGACCAACAAAACTAGACCCTCGGCACAGTTTACTGCTTCAGTGTGCGTGACACCCCGTGACACCAGCCTGGTGCTTTCGTAATCATCATGCAAGGTGCGAGGTCATGAAGTTCCTCGTTTTATTTGTAAGCGTCATTCTGTTCCTACCACATTTACCAGAAGGGAACAAATAAAACGCAACTTATGTATATCATTTATGTCAGTGTCAAAAGTGTCAATTGTCAATAGCATAGGTGATATATATAATTCTGTCATGGGTGTAGGTGTAAAAAAACAGAGGGGAACAAAACGAAGGGAAGGTGAAATTTTTGTTTTTCTTACAGTAAAGTGGTTACAGAAAATGTAAAATCAACAGGAATCATCCTAGTATATGGATCTAACCTTCTAACAGTGGTAACCAAAGAAGCTTCAGTATTTCATATTTTATTTGAATTGAATGCATACTAATCCACAGTCTGGGGGTGTATATTGATTTTAAAATGCATCTAAATGCAGATATCTCAAGTGCCCTTCAGCTACTTGAAGATATAAAACAAACAGTTGACGACTTGGCAGACCCAAAGTTACAGATTAACACTTGTCAAGATTTGAATCTACTCATCTCAGTTCTAGAAAATCCAGTTTTCAGAAGCATTGTTACTGTACAGGATTCTTTGAGTGAACTCAATGAGCAATTAGGTCAACATCCCTCTATCTTGCCTGTGGATTTTGACATAACAGCTGCAGGTGAATTAGTTTTGAATGTGCCACCAGCAGGTGAATTATATGATCCAGATTATGCAGATGATTATCCACCCAACAGGGATTTTGATGAACAGAGAGTACCATCTGCACCCATATCCCCTAGTTCACCACAAGTTTCAAACTTCAATAGCTGTGACAATAAAATACTTTTACTCAACAGCCAAAAATTGAACAGCACTATACCAGATGTAATAATATGATGGAAACATTATTGCTCATTATTTATATATGTATTTTCAGACCCTACGCTTGCTTCAAAGCAACTCTACCTTTGGCCCTCATGATGAAGATATAATTCATCGCTCTCCTTCAGTTGGTAGTGATGCCTCCAAAACTGAGTCAGATAATTTGATAAGTAGTGAGTGGTCACAGGTAGAGAGTATAGATTTGATCAATGATGGTACTGGCTTAGGTTTTGGCATACTAGGCATGAGAAATATGGGTGTAGTTGTCAAAACAATTTTGCCTGGTGGTGTTGCAGATAGAGATGGAAGATTGCAAAGTGGAGATCATATTCTTCAGGTAAGTGAATTACAAGTATTTTCTGTATAATGAGCTTCAACCAATAGGTAAGTAAAATTGCAAATCATATAGTGAAAATATTCCAAGTTGTCTCCTATATGAAATTCTTCACTCCACTTTGAGACAATATGGACTTCAACAGTAGATTAAAATTCAGATTTTTGAAGGTGTTGCCAAATTGTGTTAGCTTGAGGTTCATTGTCTTGAGTTTTTTGGGAACTGTATGAAACTTGATTTCTATGAAAATGCAATAACTGAAAAATACTATGCAAGAAATATCTCCAGAAATATATATTTTTGATTAACCTTAGTTATTTATCTCATCTTTGAAAGAGACTGAAATATATTCCAAAAGGTATGATGAAATTTCCAAATTTGTATTAGATTGAAAGTGATAAACATATATGATCTGTAGAAACAGTTCCATTTTTCTAAAAATTGGATTTTGATAGATATTTTTCATTGAATTTACAGTAGTGTATTTGTTGAGGTATTTGTTCAACATAATATTGGAATTGCTGCTGAACATATTTCAAACTGATACATCCTTCTTTTCCATCATACACCTGTGTATAAATTGTATTTGATGAAATCAATTCCCAAAATCAACACAGATTTCAATATATTAAACATACAAATTTTATCTTTTTTTAATGAAAACCAATGATGAGCCAACTCTTCAGGAACCACTGAGAATGAGACATGTAAATATCATATTATATGCTGCTGAAAGTACCTAGAGAATATCCTTATGGGAATCAACATTTTCAATCACAATGGTATTTAATATTATCTGTCACATGCAATAATGGTCCCATTCATTTAACCCAATTACTGATTGCATTCAAATTATTGCTATAGTGGCTAAAATTACTTAGAGCTTCAATCTGGCTCTATCATTGAGGATTCAGGAATGTCCGAGAGGGAGGACATGCTCTAAAATTATGTATACCTATTGCCAGTTTCCGCATTAACATTAAATGCTAGTTTATCGCCGTGGTGCCGACTAGTGCCGATATATTTTTGCTATTGCCGAGAATGCCTAACTGCTGAAAATTATTATCAATACCTTAGGACTAGACTACCTTATACTCAGTTTTTTTCATGCCCGTCAACAATTATTCTAAACATCAATTTCGTTTGAAAATACCATAATACTCATTTCTCTCTGTATGTTTCTTGAAATTGGCAAAGAGTAGCTAAACTATCCCCGAACACAAACTACTGATTACAGATATAAATATTCCACAGCTTGAATATCCAAATTATATGAAATGTTTTGTAGCAATTCATTTGTTCAGAAAAATAAATATAAAAATTTCCTTCAAATACTAGTTCCGAATATATTTTTATACTGCCCATCATGTGTTTCTTTTTATTATATCAATGCAGGGTTATCAAAGCTGGCGTATGTATACTCCGGATTGATAAAATGAACCCTTTGCAGTCACTGTACTCTGGTGCACTCACTCTTCGTTTGTTTTGTCAGACTTCTTCTTGATATAAACAATTGAATTTCAGACGATGACGTGGGGTTCACATATAGAATGTTAGATGGCGTGATTCCTAGAACTTATGATCAACATCAGTTCTACCAACCTTCATGCGGCTAAATCGCAAAATGTATTCCTCATCTTCATTGGTTATAATTTGGTCACAATTGTCACATTGATGCCTGTAATTTTGGTACGGCACCAGACTAAACTTATCGAGATTCACCCACGACATGTTATGTTATCGAAGTAGGCGCTAATCAAGGAATTGTAAAACAGGAAAGGATCGAAGTGCATACACCAGAGGTTTATTTCATCCGAGGTATAGTCATAGGACATATGACGGTGTCAGCTCTCTAAATTACCACTGCTTTGGAATTCTTTGCCGATCAAAGTATTCCCAAGAACTTTATTATAACCTCCAAACCGAGCTCCAAACGTTCAAGAAAAATTCCAACACCTACCTCCTCTCCCTATCCTCCCTTTAGTACGCATGTTCGCACGATGTTCATCGAACATTATAGGAATTTCCTTTCTTGCGGTCCAAGTGATAAAAGAGAATCGCGACATGTACTCAGAAGACGAGTGGAGATCTGAATTTGGATGAGTACGAGAATGAGTATATTATGTACTTTCAATTTTGCTCGTACGTCTCTTCATTTTCATGCCAGACTTACATACACTTATGTGTGTATTTTTTTCGATTTCTTGAGAGTAATTTTTTCTGTTTGAATATTATTGTTCATTGTAGACAGCTTAATTGAGATTACTTATATCATTTGTGGCATTTTGATTTCATAGCGTTTCAGGCGGTAATTAATTTTCAAAATCTGTCATGTCCGTTTGGAAAACTCCGAGAAAATGTCACTCAGTGTAATTCAAGTTCAGCTTTATGGCTTGCAAGTACCTGCACTGATTTCAGGAGACTATTTTTTCGGCAAAGTGTTGGTACATCCTCGGGTATATCCATGTGTGTTGTGTCCAATCACATTCAATATATTGGGAGTTGAGGTATTTCGAATTTACGACATACCTTCGAAATCTAAATAAAAACAACACTCACTGCAATGAATGATAGTGCCGATCATTTTCGAATAATGCCGATAATGCCCATGATGCCCAAGTATTGCCATTCATTTCTGAACATATTGCCGCCGTGTCCTCCCCCTCGGGAAAGTCCAAACTATTTTGTAAGCTTCACAACAATGATTGACAATGTTGTTGTGTACCTCTTTTTTTTCACTATTTCAGTAGTGGTATTAATTCATTTGATATTGTATTCGGTGTATTTCATGGTAAAGAACAAAGTGTGCCTAGTCCTTTGAAATTTTGGTGGATGCACTCAATTATATTCATCAGTTCAATCGATTTTTATGAAGGAATGTTTGTTTCATCAATATCAACAAGAGTACATCATGATATAGACATGTTCTGAACATCTGGTAGCATCATTTTAATTTCTATAGAATCTATTGTCAAAAAGTTTGATTGATAGTGCTAGTCCCTATATTGGCCCAGTTCCCATGTAATCAAAATTTCATTCGTATTAGAATGATGATAGATGTTGAAATTTATTTGCACCTGTTATTAGTAACTTCTGAGTTTGACCAGTATACTCATGGGACACCTGTATATCAGGTTTTGGAAATATAGGTTATTGTAAACAAATACATCAATCGACATTGCAGTATTTCAAAAAGATTTTCTGATAGTCATTTTGATAATCCCAACTCTTTTCCGGAGTAAATCAGTGTAGAAAACCCCAAGCACATTCAGAATTGTGTAAGAATACCTCGATGAATACGCTTTTATCCATTTATCATTAAATTTTTTCCCTTGGATTCTTTCTCTTCCTATATTATCAAAAGGAAGAGATTCATTTCAAGACCCTGATGAAGAAACTGTCGACATGTTAGGTCTAATCAATACAGTATCTGTTATTGGATACTAGATGCCCCTCAGAAACGCTGGAAACCAATGATATTCTCACTGTAGATGGTTTCTTTCGAATTTCAGATTGGGGATGTTAACTTGCATGAGATGAACTCTGAGCAAGTGGCGACTGTTCTGAGGCAATCTGGAACACATGTTAGACTAGTTGTTGCTAGGCCAGTAGACATAACCTCAACAGAGTACAAGTATTTGGGTAGTTCTGCCCCCTTGGTGCCAACAAGGCTCCTGCATGACTGCATAGAGTTAGACAAATACCTCGTTCAACATAAGTATTCCCCGATATTCCAGAAATCTGTTGACACTGATATCTTCCAATCTGATTTGTCTATACCTTTCGGGATATCTGGCTTGTCCAGAGTGCCTGCTTCACCATCCCTGCCTTTGCTCAATTTGGATATGGTGGTGAAGATGCCAGAGATGGAGAAGTTTGTGGTAGAACTGAAGAAGGATGCTAATGGCTTAGGCATCACAATCGCTGGGTATGTCTGTGAGAAGGAGGAGCTCTCAGGAATATTTGTGAAGAGTGTCAGTAAAGGCAGTGCTGCAGATGTGAGCGGCAAAATCAAAGTGAATGACAGAATAGTGGAAGTGGATGGAATATCCTTGCAAGGTTACACGAACTTGCAAGCCGTGGAGGTGTTACGCAACTGTGGAAACGTTGTCAAGTTATGTTTGGAGAGATATTTGCATGGTCCCAAATATGAGCAACTTCAGCAAGCTATAGCAGCAAGTGAGATAAAACCGGCCTCTCCGCCAGATGTGCCACGGTAATAGAGAAGCTGTTTACCCCTTTATTAGTTGCTTTTTGAATTCGTACACCTTTCCTATATCTAGGCCTCACCAAATTAACCCTAGTTGTAAATCACTCAAATCAAAATGTACTAACCAGGGTGTCTGGATTTAGTATCCCCTAATATTGCGTAAACATACCATATTTTATATAAATTTCAGATATCTCAAAGAAGAAGGAAGTTTAAATCTTAACGGCGAGACTAACCGCGAATCTCATGCACACAATGATATTTTCAACAGCCTCATTAAGAAAATCGAGCCTGTCATACCTGTAAACGAAGAATTGCTCAGAACGAAGTGGGAAAAAGTAATGGGCCCAGACACTGAAATCATTATCGCGCAACTCACCAAGTTCGGTGAAAAGGGAGGCTTAGGTATAAGTTTGGAAGGTACAGTCGATGTGGAAGACGGTCAAGAAGTGAGGCCCCACCACTACATAAGATCCATCCTGCCGGAAGGGCCAGTAGGAAAAAACGGCACGCTAAAATCCGGCGACGAACTGCTGGAAGTCAACGGCCACCAGCTTTTGGGCATGAACCACCACGAGGTCGTGAGCATACTCAAAGAACTGCCAATGGACGTGTGCATGGTGTGTGGCCGCAGTCCCTTGAACCTGTTCACCCAGCGCGATGATTCATTCGCTGAAAGAGCTTCCCTCACCCGCAGCTTGCACAATTTACTCCCAGCCTCGGACAGGCTGGTTAAAGCCAAATCTGACGGGTCTCTAGCCAGCAGCACTGCAGTCGGCCCCTCTGATCCCGCCTTCACCAAGATGAAGTCCCGCTCTCTGGAGCCTCTTACCGGACTAGCGATGTGGAGCTCCGAACCGCAGGTTATCGAGCTGGTCAAAGGGGAGAGAGGCTTGGGGTTCTCGATTCTGGACTACCAGGATCCGGCAGATCCGAACGACACGGTGATCGTGATCAGGAGTTTGGTGCCCGGAGGAGTGGCGCAGCTGGATGGGCGGTTGATCCCTGGGGATAGGTTGTTGTTTGTTAATGATACGGTGTTGGAGAACTCGTCGCTGGATCAGGCCGTGCAGGCTTTGAAGGGGGCGCCTAAGGGGATTGTGAGGATAGGGGTTGCCAAACCGCTGCCTATACCTGATACTGTGGCGCACAGTTCTTTGGTCGATGTCGATCCGAATCGGTATGTGACTAATAGTTCTTTTCTTAATTGATTTCGTGGATCCTTGGTTGCGAGGATGGACGTTTTTTAACTAGAATGGGTGATACGATAGTCTGTTCCACTCAGGGTGGGTGTTTTGTCCACTTTTTATTTCAATATCATTCAGTACTTGAGACAAACGGATGAAATAGACAAAAGGAAAAACTGATTATATCATCTATAAGTAATTGTTATACATATATTCCGTTTAATTTGATTTCATTGGTGACTTTAAGGTAATTTTATTCAACATAATGATGTTTCTTAATGAATGAGGATGAACTCATAGTTACTTCATTTTGTCCACTCGGAAATAAACTTGGACAAATTGTGCATTTTGTCCATAGTGACAAAATAAAACCCACCCTGTCAACATGCTATTTTCCAAGTAATTTTGAAGATTGGTAATTCTCTTAGTATGTAGGTTGAAAAACCTGGTCTGACCACGCAATCTAAAATTGATTTCTAATGTTGTGTAAAGATATAACATGACGGGAACATGTTTGAATGATTACTTACCAAGTCCCTCAAAATCATTCATAGTTGCTACATATGTATTAGTCAAATTTTACCACAATGAACGTAAAACATGAGAAAATATTGGATGAATAGGTATTTCTTGATAAAAACATACATATTGAAAACTTTTTGGACGTCAACTTACATTCAAGTTACATCTCTTTGAAAAGCAATAAAACAAAGTATAATCATTTGAGGGAAGGATTCAACAATATTTGACCTCCTTCAGTGATCGCAGGTATAACGGTTTCAAAAAAATATACCCACTATAAACTACTCACTGCAGATTCAAATTATACTGATAAACTCAAGATTTACGTAGGAATATCCACTGTCTGGTGTCTGCATTGGCCGAATGTCATAAGTATACTGATCCATTGACTTGAATATAATTGGGTTGTAGGTGAATAATATCATTAGTCAATCAGTATACAATCATGAGTAGTATGAACAAGCAAACAAGAATGCAGGGTACTAGTGATATTGATAACTTTCAATTCTTTTCATTATATTTACCATTGTAGTAAATTAACGGTGGGTATTCATAATTCGACCGATTCAAGGAATGTGCAGATATCGAATTTTTAGAGGAATATGATAGAAAAAGTTTCTGTTTCTTTTTGTTTAGATGATGACAAATTGATATTCATCACAGGGCGTAGAAAGAAATTCTGAATTGAGAAAAAACCCAATCTATAAAAATAGAAAATTTTCATCATTCAAGTCTGAAGTCCTTGCAATTTGATGTCTTTTCAACATTCGAACATTTTCCCACATTTTCACTAAAAGTAAAGAAAAATGTTGAGATGTTTTCTCAAAATTAGCTCTGAATTTGAGATCTCTTCTTCAAAATTAATGAAAAATTGTTTCTCACATCACCTTGAATAATAATTGTCTGGAAGGGCCAGATTGAGATTAGTTAGTGGAACAAGGAAACAAAGAAATTTTATTTTCATATCTGCTTAGATTATTTTGTACATTCATAATATAACTTGACAATCAAATTTCTCCTGCAGTTTTCAAAATCAAAAAAATGGGTGCAGCTACTTCTTTCTGGTGGATTTTTTTTTTCAAAAAATCTACCTACCATCAACGTTGTTTGAAAATCTACACTGTGTGTTGAGCTAATTAATTTAAAACAGATAATTTGGTACTCCTTGAATAAAATTCCAGGAACTCAAGATGACTGAGAAATTTTGGTAGAGTTTATCTTTCTTAACTAAATACTTACTCCAATAGCAAATTATTGAAAATCCACCATATTGATATTCCAATGAGAACATGATAATTCCTAGATATTTGTATAGCTGTCCCTTCATAAGCTTTTATTGAAATGATTTTGTTGAGATTCATAAGGAATCAGATGAAACTTCTATAACTATGAGTACCTATAATAGGTTACCTATTCAATATATAGATTAGATAGTTCACATACTATTATATTATTTATTTTTGGAAAAGATATTTTCAATGAGGATAATTTGATTTTTATTGGGTCTCTAATGACCTAAATGCAAGTAGATACACCTGAAATTGATTTCAATGAAACAAGAATAAAATGGAGTATATTTTATTTATGTTGTACCCAATTGCCGAAATTTGTACCCCAACGTCCACAACGTATCATAGAATTCGTTAGACTTTTTGTAATTATTATGTTTCATACTCCCAATGCGTTGAAGTTGTAAATTTCGGCCATTGACCGAATTCGGCGGTGGAGTACACAACATAAAGGGTGTTCATTCAAAAAATTACCACCCGCAATATCTCGTTGAGTAGACGGATCTCAGAAAACCGCGGGAGACAGACAAACTAAATAAACCAAACTTATACATTGACTTGCCCAACTTTTTTATCCTACTTTCCCAACCTGAAGGATTGAAATCACATGTGGAAAGGCTGGAGATATATTTCGGAAAGTAGGCACAATAATATACATTAAAATTCGGTGTAACGAATTAACTTGAAATGGATGATAGCACATATTCAACAGCGCTGAATTATTGAGATCTAGTTGCTCAATGAATAAAATAAATACAAAAATATCGAAGTCATTTCCACACAATGTTCTTAAAATGAACAACAATGGTAGATTTCGGGAGAAAAACAACTACTTTCCTGGCTAATGCCACGCCGAACATTGAATTACATCCTCCCGAAATCTATGCATCGACTCGTATAAACGAATACTGATACAAGTGATTCTTTCCTGTATGCCTATTGATTTCGATTTAGCCAGGCCACGCTAGACACCTACAGACCGGTTTCGAGCTCTTTGACTCTCATCAGTGCAGGGCAGTCTCCATTCTTTGCCTGTCTTGGAGATTTTCCGAGAACTGTCTACTAAACAAGATATTGCGAGTGGTTAGTTTTCAAATGAACACCCGGTATACACTATTCTTCGTCACTATCACGATTTTATTTGATTGACATGGGATATAACTGATATGGGTCCATCCCTCTAATAGCTTGAGGCTGTAATTCTAGTATAGGTAAGTATAGGTATTATTCTCACAATTCCTTTAGGTTATGATATATTTGGAGTAGAACTGAGAATGTTAATTTAGTATTCTTCTAAAACAAACGTATATAGTATTGTTTGGTGAGGTATTGTTAGGTCAGTGGTAAATTGTATAATAACACATGTGTTGTCATTAATTTATTAGGAACTCAGGATGTGAAGAAGACTATATAGATTTTGATTTCAAGCTTCAAGACAAATAACCGAGCTTGGGCAATGTTACTTACGCACTGTTTACATTTTTACATTTTTTACTGTTGATTGTTATTTCAGGACCAATTAGAATGTTTTTTGGCAACAGTAGGAAATTGTTATATCATTCCTGACAATATATTGAGAATAGATTGAGTACTATAACCCGTTTTTTATTTATATATCCTTTGTTTGAATCGTACGAAAAGGCAAAATTAATTTATTTGCGGTATCAGAAAATGTTAATACATTGTGTCACGCTTTTCATAACTACGCCGTAAAATCTGTTATAAATGATGCGATTTTTTCGGAATTGTGATGGCGAATGTATGTTATTTTTCTAACATATAATCACTATCAAAATTTCAAGAAAAACGCATTATTAATAACGGAAATATTAAGCTGTATTCATGAGAAGCGGGACACATTGTATATAAAAATAACTTCTGGGGGTACAAATTCCATTTATTCACATTAAAATGTATTTCCAAATTTACACCATACCTACATCTATGTTGATGTTTTTATGAAATATTCTCATACAACCTATTTTTAACTTATTTTAACTTTTTTTTTTCAATCATTATACCTAAAAGTATCTATCTAGATCTCATACATATATACATTTATAGATTAATATCTTATGGATCTATAACAAAATCAAGTAGAAGGTACCTTACCAACTGTATTATACATAAAACAAAATGCATACCACTAACATCACATGAGTTATCATTATTTTCGCACTAAAAGCCTATACCTATGTATAAATTTATGTTATTACATTTTATCCAAGTTCAGATAACATTCACATATTCTTTTTGATAAATGACCTCATTGGGTGTAAATATGACTACTCCCAATAGGAATTCATTTCAGTATTCCGAATTTGTAAGCCAGTATGTACAGTGTGATTATAATTCTATTTGTTTGACATTCATTTATTAACATATACAGGGTATCCGGAGAAGTCTGACTATCATTTATAAACATATACAGGGTGTCCGGAAAAGTCATGTCATGAATGATATGGCTGATAGAGGGAACTAAAATATTAAAAAAATACCTATCGCGCTTCGTTACGTACTTATTGACCTTGAAAGTTGAAATAAAAAACATGAATTTTATGTATAACTTTCAAACGGTTGCCATATCAATGATATACGGGCAGGCAAATAAACTCATACGAATGCTCCTTTCCAATCGTATATAAACGGCTTTTCAGTGAAATATTTTTTTAGAGAAAATCGTATTTTGAAACACATTCCAACCGATTCAGAGTCAATAAAGGCTCCATTTACCTATTTAATGACATCAGGGAAGATTATCAAAAATGCTTTTCAATATGTACATCTTGAACTTCAACGCATTTTCTAAAGTTGTCTAAAAATCTGCGTTGTACTCGAGATAACATGTGATGATGATTATTTCTTACTAGACTTAACATTTGGGATAGGCCAAAAGAAATGAATCAAGTAGATTAAGATCAGGTAACCGTGGTGGCCATTGAAAAGGACCATGGGGAAATGTGATGTTCAAATGATCTTTTACAGCATTGTCGAAATGAGGGGGCTCACCATCAGCCACATATCACCTCTTATAACAACGGATCTGGATGTTCTTGCAACAAAGTTGAATATTTATTTACATTTAAAGTTCCATTAATGATATAAGATCCATAATTGAGCAGTTGCCAATTAGTCCTATCCATACATTGATAATAAATGGAGTTTTATCACCTTTGAAACGGTTGGGATGTATGTTTTTAATGCGATTTTCTCTAAATCGGTACAAGATATCGATTGAAATGAAAAAGGTAGATGAAGGGTTCAAACGGTGAAAGCAAAGTGTCAAAAATGCCTTTATTAAACGGAAAAAATTCGTCCCATCACCCTGTATAAAACATAATCACTGAAAAGCCGTTTACCTATGGAAAGATGCATTAGTATACCACAACAACCGTTTGAAAGTTATTCATGAAATCCATTTGTTTCATTCGAACTTTCAAGGGGAATCAGCCCTATATCATTTGCGACATGACCTTTTCTGGATACCCTGTATATGTGAAAGAACACAAAACACTTAACAGTTTGTTAGTCGTCCTGTCAGCAAAACGCATATAAACTTCCATCTTTACTGTTTGCTGGTGTATATGTACATCAGTTTTCAAAATATGAAATATGACAAGCAGAAAACAAAAAGTAAGTACCTATTATATAATACTCAAACAGTGTCCATCTCATACATTATGACATATACTTAGTATACCCATATACATACCGTGCTTTCGCGTTTACTGCCTACATAGGACATAACTCGTGCGATATCCTTATTTTATGGTAAGGGCGTTGATTGATATATATATCAATCAACGGTAAGGGGGAATAAGCGAGCCATGCCGCTTATGAAAGTGAAAGCAGCCAGCCAGTGATCTCACGACGCTAATTCCCCACTCCTACGTAGCTGCTAGCCCCCAGCACGACCGAAAACTTTGCCCATGTAGTGTTTTCCAAGAAAGCACGGTATATCCACTACGAACCAGTTAAGTATAAAAATAATATCTGAGTATATGGAAAAAAACTATAATGTTCGTCAAAGTCCTGCAAAATAGGAATGAAAAAAATATGATTGTGAAAAACTTGGTTAAAAAAATTAATGATATGTTAGGATTAATGATATGTATTTTTACTGCTGATCAAACAAGATATAAGCAGTTGTTCTCGTGGACTGAGCTCAAGGTTGAATAGTACGTGTATTTTTGTTTGATCTTTCGTTGTTCTTCTTGAGAATTAATATACTGCAAATAGAATTTATTCAGTTCTGTATATACAGTATGTGCGATTTCAACCCGCAAAACTCTTCTAATTTGGAACCTGTTGACCGATTTACAAAAACAAAAATTCTATAATATAGTGCCCAACGACCATCTTTGTTTGTTGAAGGGGTCGAAATATCAAAAACGACCATTTGGCTTTTTTTCGGAACTGTGAGCCTATTCGATTCCGGCATAGTTGAAATACCCAGATAAGAAATTTGAACACGAAATCTCATATAGGGTGTCAGTTATTCAGAAGCAAATTTTGATATTTTTGATTTTTTCACCCTGTATCAACATCTAAGAAGTTGATATAATTGGTGAAGTAGTCATTTAATGGAGGAACACATCGAATACTTAGATAGTTTCATAGTTGTAGCTTCTACAGGAAGATCTCTCTAGGTCAACAAAATATTAATCAAATTGAAGTTGATATTTTTAAAATTTATTATCCATATCTTCTTTTCCTGGAAATATAAATAATGATAACTAATTCGAGGGAATATTCTCTATACATGAGAATTTTCATTGTTATCTCAAGTTTCCCTTCCATTTTGCCAAAATCGGTATATTTTTATCTATCTACTTGAGTCTTTGGAGAGTGTTTGTCTGTCATCTATTTGTGTTATATTCGATAGTTCTCCATCAATATAGATATTTCTCAAAGGTACTGTGTAGTGAAATGTGTGAAAAACGGTTTACTTGAGTTTTCAAAATGGTTTACCTCAATTTTTGTTTTTTGTTGATTTTATGTTTGCCCTAGAGAGAGCATCCTGTAGAAGTTACAACGATGAAACTTCGTATTCATGTATTCGATGTGTTCCTCCATCGAATGACTACTTCACCATCAGTCATAACAATTTTGATACAGGGTGAATCGAAAAATCGAAAATATCAAAATTTGCCATTAAATAACTAACACCCTATATGAGATTTTGCGATCAAATTTCGTATTGGGGTATTCGAGCTATGCCTGAATCGAATTGGCTAGTCACTATTTCGACAAAGAATTGCCTATAATAGTCGATTTTGAAATTTTGACTTTTTCAACAATCAAAAGCATGTCTTGAAAATGTGATAAAATTTCAGATTGGTTCACATTTTTGAATAGAGCTCGTTGAGTACTATATTATGAAATTTTTGCTTCTGAAAATCGGTAGACCTGTTCCAAATTAGGTGGGTGTTGCGTGAAATCGCACACACTGTATAAAGGTTGAAAACTGTTCTTCTACTATTCCTCGTACCAAAATTATTCGAAAATATGTTCTGCAGGACATTTTACGTGAACCAATTAAGTTTTTGCCCTATTTTCAACCGAATAAAATGGCATATTTACGAGATCTAAGCCCTTTTCTTCCCATATACTTAATATCTAGGTATTGATAAATATTTACAATAGCACATTATTTATGGGCATCGTTAGCGTTGTAATCAGAGGTTTTACTATTTACAATTTCGATAGTTTCACTAAGAAGCTCTGCTTCTTCAAATGATCATTTGATATGATATAATATATAAGTACATTTCGTGTTTTTTTTTTCGATATAAGCAGTGCCTGAAGTCTATTAAAGATAACAAAACAATATTTCTTACTTACATAATATAACTACCAACTCGAAAAATATATATGAACTCATACCTCTAATCAGTCTAATTGACTATATACTGATGTGACAAAGTATTATTCAGACGAGCCAACTATACCTTCAGATACACCAGTCAAAAATCTGGTATATATATAAGTATTTTTACATTTTTGCATTCTGGAGATCATTCCAAAGTAGTCTTTCTTCATTGCCGGTGGAACCGGAAATAGTGAGGAATATATATTCTTATCTACATAGAAAATTTTGCAAATTTTCAGCTCTTATAACCCCTACCAAGTATGAATCTCAAAATCTTCAAACTGTGGCAATAATGGCTCGTCTAAATAATACGTTTTCACCTGGTATATCATATATACTATACTTATTGTTCAGTTAAAATGAAAAACGCTAAACATTTTTTGGATAAAGTTAAACATATACACGCGTCGCAAATTCAATAACAACACGTCAACAATTATGTTAGAATTGAAGGGTGTCAAAGCAGTTCGTTTTTCGATAATAATATAAAAAATAATATTTTTATGTGAAAATCGACAAGACAATGGATACAAAAGCGAACATTACCAAACCAATACACAATATTTCATTCAATACTTTATGAATTTGACAAAAAAATATACAAGATTTGAGGCGTTGGGGTGATGGAACATCACATAATGACATACAGTAAATTAGAATGGTTTAAAATTTTTATGATAAAATGTATATATATATAGGTATAGGTACCTGGTGCTTCTGACT